TTGTCTAGGCCAAACTCCATTTGTATGTCCTTAGTGTATGAGTGTGTGATTTGTAGGAGTTGATGAAGTTGTTTTTGTGTGGATGCATAAAGTTTTATGTCGTCCATGTACATGAGAGTTACACATCAGTAAAGTTAAAAATAAATTTTTAAAGGCGATTACAGATTTCTTAATATAAATAATTCTACGTCAAATGTAAAAAACTAATTTAAAATAGTTTAAAACATCAATGATGTTAATTTAATATTTTAATCCAAAAATTATGATGAAAAAAAGAAACACCTGATTTTTTTCATCCTTTGCTGTCTTGTGCTCTAGAACATTAGCCGTATTTGTTCCCAAAGTTAATAATAATGCCGATCTAATGTCATTTACAGCTATCTTTTGCCAGATTTGACTATGGTTATGATATACAGAAAAACGGACATCTGTGATAATTAAGAATTATATATTAGTTAGAATTTAATAGTAACTTTAATAATAAAATAATTCTAAATAAAGAAATCATATTCATATCTTTTGAAAAATAATGATTTAAAAATTTATTCAATTTTTTTTAAATTAGAATATTTCTTTGTCATTGCTATGTTATTATGGTATGTATAATATAACAACATAACATGATTGCTTATTCTGAAACCGCGTCTTCTTTTATTCGTTTTTTCTGTCACAACTAGGTGCATAGACAGACACTGGACATTTTTGACATCAATCTTTATTCGGAAATATCTTGTGGGCCAAGACACGTTTTGGGCATATGCCCCTCTTCTGTCAGCAATATAATAAAACATGAACATATTTTTCATATCACAAAATGTTTTATATTATGATAGGTTACAACGTACCATTTCTTTTTTAAATATCTTGTAAGGAGGTGTTAACTAATATACATCTTGCTTAAAAATTATTTATATTTACAGTTAAAATTTCATGGCTTTACCGGTAAACTGACTGCACTTAGCTCACACTTGTGATGTCCATGTTTACAAGGTTCTTCTTAATCTCGTTGGCATGTTAAAAATTTTTTTAAAAAACATTTATACAATAATCTCTCTTTTTATTATTATTATTGTTGCATTTTGTGAGTTATACTTGGTTGACACTGGTGGCTGTGTACTATGCTGGACCAGAGTCAAGACATAGTAACCAAAACAAAATAAAAATTAAAAAAACTGTGTCAGTGTGTGTGTTTGTATCCAAGAATTTCCTAACAATGTGACATTCAATTGTAATGTTCCCAGGCTTTTGTGTGTTTATTATTATTATTATTATTGTGTTGGGTTTAGTGGGTAATACTCGGTTTAAACCGGTGGCTGTGTACTATGCCGAACCAGAGTCAAGGCATAGCAACCAAAACAAATTAAATAAGTGTGTCAGTGTCAGTGTCTGTATTCAGGAATTTCCTAACAATATGACATATATTCAATATAGTGGCCTTCTGTAGTGTGATGTATGTATTTCTATTCAATTGTAATGTTCCCAGGCTTTTGTGTAGTGTGTGTGGTATCATACCTGCACAGGAGAGAACAACAGGTACAATAAGCACCCTATCCATCCTCCACAGATGCCTTATTTCCTGGGCGAGTTCTGTGTACTTGCTAATTTTTTCAGTGCATGTGTTTTGTACATTGTGAGTGTTTGGAATGGCTATGTCTATAATGTATGTGATTTTATTGTGTTTGTCAATGAGTGTGATGTCTGGTCTGTTGTGGTAAATTGTTTTATCTGTGATTATGGCTCTGTCGTAGTACATTTTGTGCGTGTTGTTTTCCAATACTGTCTGTGGAATATACTTGTAGTATGGTTCGTGGATGTCTGCCAATTTGTGTTTCTTTGCAAGCTCTTGGTGTATTATATTTGCTACTTGATTGTGTCTATGTAAGTAATCTGTCTGTGCCAAGAGCTTGCAACCAGAAGTGATGTGTTGTATAGTTTCTGGCATGATGTGACATTTTCTGCATGTGTCATTTGTGAGTGTTGTATCTTTGAGTATGTGTTTTCTGTAGTTTTTAGTATTTATGACCTGATCCTGTATGGCAATCATGAATCCTTCCGTCTCCCCAAAGAGGCATCCCCGATCTAACCAGCTGTTTGACGCAGTTTTGTCAACAAAATCCTGGGCCAGGTCGTAAGGATGCCTGCCATGGAGAGCCTTTTGAGCCCATGATTGCTTAATGTTGTCTATGCTTTTTATATGTTGTGTCATGTCTGTATGTTGTGAGTGTAAGTTTAATGGTGTGTTATTTGAGTCTGCTAGAGTTACTGCTTTATGTAACTGTGATGTTTCTTGTTTCTTGTAGAAAAACTCTCGCAGTGACTGTATTTGTTTGTAGTGAAGGTTAACTATGTCAATCAGGCCACGTCCGCCTTCTTTACGTGGAAGGGTTAATCTTTCTGTGGCGGATTTAGGATGATGTTGTTTATGCTTAGTAAGTGTTGTTCTTGTTTTCCTTTGGAGTTGCTCGAGATCTGTGTGAGTCCAATGTATAACTCCAAAAGAGTATGTGAGTACTGGGATGACATATGTGTTTATTGCTTTAACTGTGTGTTTTGCATTTAACTGTGTTCTAAGTATAGCGTTTAACCTACTTTGGTATTCTTTAATTAATCGTTGCTTTATTTGTGTATGTTCTGTTAGTTTGGCCTGTTGGAATCCTAAGTACTTGTAGAACTCGCCCTCTTCCATGGATTCAATAACGTCTCCATTTCCAAGTGCAAAATCTTCTTTCTTCAGGATTCCTTTTTCTATGTGAAGTTTTTTGCATTTGTCTAGGCCAAACTCCATTTGTATGTCCTTAGTGTATGAATGTGTGATTTGTAGGAGTTGATGAAGTTGTTTTTGTGTGGATGCATAAAGTTTTATGTCGTCCATGTACATGAGATGTGAGAGTGTAAACTGTGTTGTTTTTTCGTGTCTGATATTGTAGCCGTATTGCGTGTTGTTTAACATGTTGGATAATGGATTCAGGGCTAGGCAGAACCAGAGAGGACTCAAGGAATCTCCTTGAAAAATTCCTCGCCTAATGAATATTTCGTTTGTTTGTATGGAAGTGTTACTAACCCTGAGATGTAGTGTTGTTCTCCAGTGCTGCATAGTGTTTTCGAAGAATGCAATGAGTGATGGATGTATTTTGTACATGTGTAGAATATGTAGCAGCCAACTGTGTGGAACACTGTCGAATGCTTTTCTGTAGTCTATATATGCCATGTGTATGTTTCTGTGTTGTTTGTGTGCTTGCCGTAGAATGACTGAATCTATGAGTAACTGTTCTTTGCATCCCCTGTGATTTCTACGGCAACCTTTTTGTTGTTCTGTAAGAATGTCGTGTTCTTCAACATGTTTGTATATTTTGTTTGTGATACAGGATGTCAATAATTTGTAGAGTGTTGGAAGACATGTAATTGGTCTGTATTGTGTGGGGTCTGTGGTTTTGTTGTTTTTAGGTTTCATGTAGGTAATGCCCCGAGTAAGAAATTTTGGCATGTCTTGTGGATTGATGATGATGTGTGTTAGATGTTTAGCTAGTTCCTGGTGCAGTGATGTAAACTTTTTATACCAGAAATTGTGAATGTTGTCTACACCAGGTGTCTTCCAGTTGTGTGTTCTGTTAACAGCGTAGCGAATGTCGTGTATGTTTATTTCAGCACAGGGCATAGTGGGTATGTTGTGCAAGTTTCTGTTCTCCTCTTCAATCCAGCCTGCTTCAGCATTGTGTGTAACAGCATTGGACCAAAGAGAAGACCAATAAGTTGTGAGTTCTTCTTCTGTTGGTGCCACTGTGCTGTGTATCAGTGTTTGTTTTGGTACTGATTTGTCTGTAGAAAACATAGCCTTGGTATTATTATTATTATATTTTTAACCAATTTTCGTGAATCTTTATACTTAAATTTTTATTGATATTATTTTTTTGGCTTTTTATAATCTCAAAACTTTCTTTAAATTTTCTGTTGTACCAATTTTTTTCTGTGTTTGTTTTTGTTAATATTGCAATTATTTATTGTGCAATGTTCATAAAAGACCGCATTTACTCTTCTATATTTCAAACCAGCAATATGTTCTTTTAGTCTTATTCCTACTTTCCTTTTCATTTCTCCTATCTAATTTTTTAGGTTTTCACAGGTTCATGGTATAGAATAGATTACAGACCCACAAGATATTCCTGAATAAAGGTTGATGTCAAAAATGCCCAGTGTTTGTCTATACACCTAATTATGACAGAATTAACAAACAACATAACATAATATATTTGAATGTTTCAAAATCGACCTTTATTCATTTAAACATACTGTATATCTGTGCAGATAAGATGATAGTTGAATCATAAAAAAAAAAGACCCCCAAAATCTGGGGTTGTCCTATAAGACAACCCCAGATTTTGGGGGTTGTCTTATAGGACAGATACAAAAAAATTAGATGAAATTTACATAAATTAAAACAATTATAAAAAAGCAAACAAACTGTAATTATTTACTAGTAGAGAGTAGGGCATGTCCACAAAATAGAATAGCCCATACAATGTTTTTGTGAATAGTCAAGATCACCCGAATGCCTGAATCAGTGCAAATGTTTGCAACAATAGCAAGGCAGTGCTGCCAGATGCAAGAAAATAAAATTTGTTCATTCGAAAAATTACGAATTGGACATAATTCCGTATACGCTATACAGTATTATTATATAGATGATGATTGCTGATCTAAACTAAATTCATAGGCTGTTGATAGTTTGGGGGTTATCTTATAGGACAGATATATGCTAAAACTATAAAACTTTGATGAAAGTTTATACCTCATCTTATCTGTGCAGATATACGACAAATACTAAAATGTTAAAAAGACTACAACAATTAAATAATTTTCTATATTTGTACAAGATTGATTTTTAGTATTAAACAATTTACTGTATTTACTTGAGTCAAAGATGCACCTTAATTTCTACATGCTCATCCACAGATATTCTTTTTTTTGAAAAATAGACAACTCAAGACAAATTTGTTGCAAGCAAAGTAAGTTATGTATCATTGTCTTCCATGGTATTGAAGTCAGAAACCTCTTCATTTTTCATGTTAGAGTCTTCTTAGTAAACATTACTGTTGTTTTAGTCATATTCTTGGGTTTTGGCTTTGGCCAATATATACAATATGTACAATTTTAGTTATACTTTTGTTTTTAGTACTAAAACTACAGTAATCAACACTGAATTCAATGTTCACATCTCACACAAAATCATACTCAGTACCATTTAAAACATCAGAAATGTAACATTTCTTGAAACACCACTGCAAAATTTTTTCTGGAACTTTCACCCAAGTACTTACAATATTACTATAATAGTCTAAAGAGATTAAGCTAAGCTGGTGACTTAAATATTTTCCATTACAAATATTGGTCTAATAAAAATTATTAATATAATGCAATAGAATCCATAACTTATAGCTGCAGAAAAATAAGATATAGAACATCAGAAATCACTAATTAAGATGTATTATATTGAATCTAAGATACAATTTTTCAAGATACTAAAGCATAGAAAAAAAATCCAACAACAAAATACTTAACTTTCCTGGCAACATTTAAAACTGCATGTGATGCTATCTGTTATAATATTTTATTAAAAATCTTTATATATTTTTAATTATGATAAAATGACAAAAGCTTAATTTTGAGGATAGGGACAGGTTTTATAAAAAACTGTAAATGCTAATAACAAGTAAAATTGTCATTAAGTCCAATCCTACTCGAGATACACATGACCCCCTTTATCTCCCCATCCCTTCGACCTCTAACCACTAAAATTTAATAGCATCAATCCCCTAATACATAAACCTTCCTACTATATTTCAGAAACTCTTGACAAAAAGCATGGGAGTTATTAAGCTTCAAAAAGGTTGAACAAAATTTTGCCCCCCACAAATATCAATACATACAGAAAAAATCCCCCAAATTTTTTTTTTTTGCATTTCTTGATGTTTCAGAGTAGAGTCCAAAAATGTAAAAATCTTGAAAAGGTTATTTTTGACCAATTGCTATACTTTCTCTCTGTTATATATAACAGAGCTGGGAAAGTAAAAGTGTGGCTTACATTTGGGTAAATATGGTATATTTTATATTTTATTAAACTGCATAAAAAACACAAAAATATCAAAAATAATTAACTAAATAAATATTAATCAATAAAACGACCTTTTTCCACTAAAAGTGTTCCTGTGTGATTTCTTCTCGACAGCAACCTTATGCTAAGAAAATACATATAAATAAATATTATTGAAAAATAATTACTTGGATGTATTGTTCCAAATGCAACTTTTTTAATCTCTTCTTTTTTTTTCTTTGCATTTGAACCAAACTGTCTTCTTACAGGAATATTTTNAACTCCTGTCGGGTGGATTAAATTATAAATCTACTGGCGATATAGGGGGGGCAAACATCTCTAGCACTCATTACGTAAATTAAAACGCTTCTTTTTGCGTAGAATCGACTCCCGTTTGGGCATGACCGAGTCCGAACCGCTCCTAATATTAATTAATACCGTATTTTACATAATAAAACCAATTTATTTAAAATACTTTTATTAATTAATGGAAATAAAAATGACACAAATAATAACAGCGGTGGAAACCGTTCCTGAAGTAATTATTTTGACGATTTCCGGACGAACAGAAAATTCATTTGTCGTCTTCCCCTAAAATAAGAGAGAAACGTAGAAACCGTACGTTTCTCCGGAAATTATAATTTATAGGAAACATCTGCTCCCGCCGACGAGCGAGGGGTCCTTGCTAGTAAAGCGGTAAATTTTACCCATTAAAAAAACGGCGGGTCTCCTCCTCCTCCTTTCGCCGGTTTTACAGACGGACGAAGAGGAAAACATTTAACACGGCATCAGGGCCATTAGTCGAATAGTTTCAATTTTCGGTTTTCAGAGACAAATAACTGTTTAGGGTAAACTGAGGAATGAGATCTCCATCGTCGCCTTCTTCCGTTCGTGTCGGTTTCTCCTCTTCCGCCGAAAATATTTCCCTTTCGTTTTCTTCCACGGTTATTTCGTTATTTTCGGTGTCCGAATGGTCAGAGTCCTCCTTCAGCTGGCCGACGGGCAACACTTTACTAAAAATAAATAAACTCGGCATTAAATATTTATGCTTATTATTATTATTATCGTTATCGTTTAGCCTCACCCACCTTTTCGTCTCCATCGTACACCCTCTACCCAAACCTAAATTCATTTTTTTCATTCCTTCTGCGATATTATTTCCTAACTTTTTCTCTCTCTTGTTTTTCTGGAAAAAGAAAACTTAAATTTCAATTTAATCGCATCAGTTATAATTATCTTTTATAAAGTAAAAATTAATATTTAAAACTATTTTAACCAAACGGAACCCGTTATTCCGTAATTTCAAAAAGTTGCGCCTTATTCTCCCACCGGCCATTCCCAAAGCGGGCACTACGAAAAGAAGACTGGAGGCAACATTGGATGAGTAAAAAGACAAAAATTTACTTCGAAACGAGCAATGACATCGTCACAATGCCGGGCTGTAATTTTTAATCATATTTTTCACTTATTTCATTTAAAATACATGCTCTCCGCCTCAAATTAGTAGTGTCTTGCTTCTGTACAACATACTTTTCCGTTAGCAATAGAGTCGTGCCGGTCTTCGGGGAAGTTTCAATAACCGGTACCCAATCGTGCAGTCTCGCCACCTTCTCTCGAACTGATACTTTGCAACTGTTTCTTTGTAGGGGTTTGAGAAGAATCGGTTTTGCCCCCGTTGTCCACCAACGTGGCAGACTGGGAGGACTTACCGCCATAGAATCGATCGACAATGAAATGCTAGGCCAGATGCGGTCCGAACTGCACTATCCGCTCGACGTGTGCCATCTCTTAAGGTTTGTAAACAAAACTTGGACGGTCTGTCTTTCCGTTGGTGTCTTAACAGTTGTAGGAAAAAATTTCTAAAATGCTCCTCCAAATTATGAATAACCATGTATTAATAAACGAAAGCTAATGCTCCGTAAAGTTATTTCATACACTATGTAGCGGACTTATCATATTCATAAACAACCCATTGCATTCAGACTATTGGTGGATATTAAATATTATATTAAGTATACAATATCTAAAAAAGTAACTACAGACGTTAATAAATTCTACTTCCAGAATTAATAATACAAAAAAGTTTTTAGATAATATTAACAGTCTAGTTATATTAACGAATTATAAAATGGACTCACCCCATGAAAAACTAGGTACCCCCTTAATTACATATCGTATAATAGAGAATATGTGAACTAATCTATGTCGAATTTATTATGATTGGCTGTGTTTGTATTATATAATAATTATTTTGTTTACAAAAGTAAAACTTACAGACAGAAAGACGAACCCAATGCTATGTCCTCTACACGCAGCGGTCCCCAACCTTTTTATCACCGCAGACCGGTCAACCTTTGATATTTTACCGCGGCCCACTGAGGGGGGATGTTGATTGTTTATATTTTAGATTGATTTAATTTAATAATTTTAATTTAATTGTATTTAAACATGCCTTCAAAATAAAACACAGTTACACCAAAGAGAACCCTGAGCTTGTTTCTTTGCAACAAGACGGTTCCATCTGGAGTAATAGAAGACAATGACACCTGAAGTGTGTTTCTTATGTCAGTTTATTCCATTGTTCCGTCGTCCATTAAAAGTCGCACAAACCCGAGAGAAATACACCATAGCAAATAAAATGGAAATAACAGTAATTTAATGTTCCTTGGGCGGCCCGGTACCATTTGATCCACGGACCGGTACCGGTCCGCTGCCCGGGGGTTGGGGACCACTGCTCTACAGGCCTTAAATTGGAAGAATTAACTACTATAAATATCCATCAAATACAGTAATAGCTAATATACTGTGCATAAATACCTTAAATCCTTATACGATTAGTTTATTGTATATGATTATCTTTAATTTTGATTTTGTCATTTCTATCATTATTAAAACCCCTTTAGTTCCTCGCCCGAGATATCTCGGGCAGGCATAGCGTTACATAAAACAAAGTATACAAAGTAGACTTTATTAACATAAAAAAGTAGTTGTTTAATCCAATATATAATGTTATTCATTAAATATGACATTTTTCCATCAATCTATAAGTTTTTGATGCCTTTCTTATAAAAAATTATCAGATTTTGATTCAAAAAATGTTTATGAATGCTTCTGGATAACGTTTTTGAATTAATACTTTTTCCATTTACAGTGTTAATGTTTTGAAAAGATTGAAAGAGTTGGTAATCTGTAAATGCCAGATTGGGGCTATAAAAAGGTGAGAAGAACTTCCCAATTAAGTCTCTTAATTTTTGTTGAATGGTTGTTGCAACATGGGTCAAGTGTTATTGTTTAACAAAATAAATGTCCTTCCCATTTGTCAAATATGGTAATTTTTCTTGGAATTTTTCACAAAGCTTTTCCAATTGCTGGCAGTATAAAGTAGCATTTTTTGTTTCATTTGGATTCAACAATCCAAAATAGTTTTCTCCTTATATCTCACCATATGTACAATAACAGCTTTTGAAGATGAAGACTACATTTTGCTTCTGGAGCAGTAGCAGCCTTTGAATATAACCACCATCTTTTATGAGTGACATCAGCATATAGCACTTGCTTCTCGTTCCCATTTACTAATCTGTCCAAAAATGGGGTTTACTCTTGCCTATTAATAAGTGAAACACACATCCAATTCTGTTTTTATACAATTTTGATTAAACAGTCTGGGGAAAAAATTCTACTTCTCTTTTCATGTGATTTGTTTTAATTTAACATATAATAAATTTGCCTTTTTTAAAAAAAATCTTCATTTGATTTTAATTCTAAGAAAAATATTTACTGTCTAAGTGACAAGCAGCTAAACAAGAAACTGTAAGTAAGCAACATAGTCTGTTTCTTATAAAACAGACAGTTTTTTTTTGTTATTGGTTAACTTACTTAACTCAATCAGACTTTCATTCTGACTTTATACTGTGATTGAAGCAGCCAGAAAAAATGTAATTCAAAGTTCAAATATTTATTTGTATACTTTTCTTTGCATTTCTTCTGATTTCTTTTAATACACAAAATTGAAAAAGTTTAATAAAAAATAAAATTTGTGTGAAAAATATAAATTCAGTAAGTTTTGCTGATAAGTTACAATTATCCTTCCTGTCATTTATAAACTAAACTTTAAATATTTCATTTAAACACACCTTAATATATTAACTGATTTATCATATTATTTTTAATAGTTTTTGAAGTCTGGAATCAATCTTCCATTTTTCCACATGGATAGTATTGTTTTTTTACCAAATTTTTTCGAAATATACTTGCTATAAAAAAACACGCAGAGAATCACACCTATAAGCAAAATTTCCAGAAAAGAAATTTCTATGCTGGAAATTTTGCATATAGGTGTGATTCTCTGCATATATTGTTCCAGTTTACATGTACAGTTGTTGTTTTTTGTTATAAAAACACAGAATTAAATGTATAGATATGCAATCTAGATGGTTCTGTTCTGAAAGATCATGTGGAATATCCCACACTTTTTTATCTTTTCTAGTTGATATAATTGCCCCATTACTGTTGATTGAACGTTCAGTTTTTCTGCAATTTCTTGCGTACAGTTTTGGTTCAGCTTCCACTATTGCAACAATTTCAGCATTTTCTAAACCAAAAGGTCTCTGTAAAAAAGCTCATCTTCAAGAGTTCAACTTCATTTCCATTCTTAAATTTTTTTAACCAGCACCGGTCCTTTGTGACATTTAAGGCTTCACTGCCACACATGCTACCTATATTGTTTTTCCATAACTGCAGCGTTACTTTTTCTAAATTTGTATAACATTATAGGCCTTAAATATTCTTTCAAGACGCTCGTTTTGATCCAAACTAATAGAGAGGTTGTGGCCGAAGTTCAAACTTTAAACTTGTATGGCAGCAAAAGTACATGTTTGACATTTGAACTCCAAGTAAAACACATTGTGCCACACGTTCACGTCGCTCACTGATTCGTGGGATATTGTTGAAAAATGGTGGAAACGTTTAACAACAACGAAGGTTACCAGCAAATATAAATAAACAAATTAAACTATTTTAAAATATTTACAGGATGTTTAATAATGCTAAATAATTATTTTTGACTTTGATTAGTGTTGTGTCTCCTACCGTACAATATAATAGTAGGACAATTCCAATGCATTTTGACTGTTCTCACAACATACTTTTGTTGAGGGAAGTAGTGGCTTATATAAATCCAAAAGCAGCTCAGCAAATTATTTTTAGAAATTTACAAACATATTATGCTGTTGATGGTAGAAAATGCCGTGAAACAACAAACCTACTTCTGAAAAATTATGATAAGCTGTTATGAACACAAATATATATAAATTCTAAAGACGCTTCACATCACTTGCAAAAAAGTTAAATAATTAAATAATTTCTGGATTAAAATCGTCTATTTCTTTACAATGTTATTCATAAATGCTTAAATGATCATTATTTTAATAAAATACATCATAATTTTAACTAAAACACAGAAAAGTGCAGATGTTTAAGCTGAACTTCTACTTGCTATACTCAACATTCCAAATGCCATTGTCAAACTTCTAGGATTACGAGACGGTGGCACTTGACATTCAATGTTCACATTTTAGAGATGAAAACTTCACCCACAACCTCTCTACTAACTTAATTTTTTAAAAAATAATCAAAAACTATTACGAAAACCGTTATTACAACAATTACGCAATTAATAAATTAGCTGATTGGTATAGTACACAAATTATGTTATACTATGAAAACAATTCTTAGAAAAAAATTACTTATGATTCTACTCAATAAATATTTAGACATTAACAAATTATTTATCAAAATGATGACTTTGGTCATTTAAAGAAGTAATGTGGTAATAACTTAAAAATTTCTTAATCTTCAGATTTAAAATAATGTAAATATTGTATGTAAAACAAGAAGCCATAGAAAGAAATCATAGTCTTAATCATTATCACTAAAAACTCATACAATTAAAGCTATTAATCTCCCAAATAATAAAATAAAAACTGAAACAATTTAATGATCTTTTGATTCTAACATTTAATAGCTTATTTTAAAACACAATATTTATATCCAGTTTCTATTTATTAACTATTATAAAATGTTTAATAAATAATAACTTACTCATTAAAATATTTTTCTTTTAACTCTGGAATATCTAATGGCAGATCTAAAGTGCTCTTTGATGTAATCTTCTCTGGATGACATAGTGCACCCATAAATGGTTGTTTTTCATATTTACCAGATGAAAAACTCTGTAAAAATATAAAATATTTGAAAAATAATTTTTTTAAGTCGATGGCAAGCTAGCCAAGTAAATTCAACTATACAATATAAGTCTGAAAATGTATTGAAAAGAAATTGGAAATTTAATTAGTTATATGATAGTTGAATGACTCTTCTGCCATACAATTTTTAAGAACGTAACACTTCTACTCTCTCAAACAAAAATATAAGACTGTTTCTTTGCAACCAATGAGAAGATGTATAGAAAATGTGTGATCTTTATTTGAAGTAAACACGACAGACTGAAATTTTATTTAGGATAATGATAAAGTTATATGTTTGATTGATAAAATATAAAATTATCTATACAACATTAATTTTTAAGAATATCAGGATAAAATAAATAAGAAAACATATATACAGCTATCATCATTTCTGTATATAGGCCTGTAGTGTGTGTGCTGTATACAGTATAGTAATTTTGATAATAAATAAGTAAATAACATAAAATATAAAACTGAGATGGCTACACTTTTCAGCTTTTTCTAAAGTAAATGAAACCTAGCAGGAGGTATTTTAATTTAAAGTTTATATACCTATTATACAATGGCAGCAGGTGATGAGTCATCACATGAGGAGCTAAAATTCATGTTTCCAAATGAAAGGGAATTTCTTGTCTTTCCCATAAGAGGACAACAGAGATTTTGGGGTGCTTGTAAAAATGTATGTCCCATTTCTGTTATCAACATTATGTTCTGTTTATAGTCAAAAAAGGTTTATTTATATATTTCGTGGTGTTAGCAGTGATAATGACCAATCCATGTTCCCTTAATCTCACTTCTCCAAATATTCCCCGACTAGTTACGTTATATCTCACTTGATAGTAGTAGTAAGAATATTAACTAGCTAATAATTAATAGTAAAATTATATAATGTTATTATGTAATATAATATTTTAGTATTTTTCATTTTTGTTTGTTAATTTTAGTGCTAATAAAATAAATTTTTTATTAGGAAAAATTATTTGTTTCAAAATTTTGCTTGAATTTCATTTAGCATATACATTTTTCTGCTACAACTCATCTATTCATAAAATTGTTTAAATACACGAATTTACAAATTAGATACAGCATTACTTCTTTATAACCTATAAAATACATAAAGCAGCACTAATACATAAAGCAGTATGCTATAAAATTTTATAAAAAGCTTAAAACTTTAATATTTTACAAAATATACTACATATGTGTTTTAAAATGTTAAGATATTATACAATCATTTTGTGAATATTTTATTTTGTGTATAGATAACACTCAAAAAAGTAGGAAGTTTCAGCACTAAGTGTGCCTTTTTTTTTCTTTAATGTATTAATCATTCCACCTATAATTTTAAAAAAATTGCAGATAAACTATGCTCCATTAGCAGCATTTCATTAAATTTTAAAGAAAGCAGAACAAAAAACTAAAAATATTTTTATGAATGTGAAGAAGATTTGAGTTTAAATTATCCCAAAAGTAATTTTTTTAGAGATTGTTTTTTTCTATTATTGATCAAGAATAGTTTATATCAAAGTTAGCAACATTCTCCTATATTTAGATTTTTATATAGCATACAAATACTAAAATGCAAAATAAGAATTAAGAGAATACTGTATGTATTTAGATATCATTTTACAAAATGAAGAACATTGAGATATACATAGAAGCAACTTTTTCCAACTGGAGTTGTACAGAATGTAAATTCATCCTGTATAACTCCAATGCAACATTTAAATATTATATACAAAATTAAAGATTAATTTCCAAATTTACATGTAGCTTTAAGAATCTTATTAACTCTTCCAACTGCTAGTGCTTCTGCAAAGCATAGTTTTTCATAGTTAAAATTAATAAAAAATTCCCAAAGAACTTCTATGATTCATGACAGATTATCTAATTTGACATTACTGTTTATTAACATAAACTATGTGGAACTTTAAAATAAGATGGTATAATTAATGATTTTGCAGAACATAAGACAAGAACAGCAAATTTTGTGAAATAATCGTAGTTCACTGTAAATTTTGAAATAATAAATCTACCTCTATACTTTGTTAGTACTTAATCAATATTGTTAATTGCATCTGAAAAAATTTTACTTTATCATTTTATTAAATATATTTTTGTAAGCCTAAGCTTCATATGAAATAGAAAGTCAAGGTTATACAGTATGTTTCCAATAATATTGACTTTCGTCCTTGGCCCCACAAACTGTATGGACAGTTCTGAATACCCTATCAACGGGGTAACAGAAAATTAGAATCATATGGTCATAATTATATTTTAAATCTCCTTTTAAACAATAAATAACATAATTGCATGAATATATATTTTATAAAATTGTAGACAATTCAGTTTTAGTGATAATTCAGTATAATAAGGTAATGTAAGATTTTGTTAAATAGGTAGCAAGTTAACAGATTTAATTTGTAACATTTTTTCCCCTTTAGAATTCAAATGAATTCCACCCTTTTAGAATACAAACGAATTCTCTAATCCATCACAAAAAAAATTTGATTTATTTTTAAAAAATTGTCTACATGGACTTATTGGATTAATAGGACAATTATACCTGTATAATTGTCCTATTAATTACAATTAAGGACAGTAAGGCAATTAAATTTTAAGATAAGTTGATTCTTAAATCTTAACTGGAGCTTATTTAAACATAGCTGAAATAATAAGAATTTTCATTTATCACAGCAATATCTTCGTACCAATAACCAATCATAGAAATTAGATTTCTCTATGGATAACAGATCAGAATTTATACATTTAAATTCCCACATTTTTACAATACTCCTAACATAGGATAATAGAGTAAAAATTATCAGTAGACTAAAAAAAAATCAGCTGAGAAGACAAACCAATCTCCAAATTGGTTTGCTGTACTTATTAAAAATTAGCTGGAAGTTTACAGTTAATTTTTAATAAGTCTTAATAAACTAAAAATTTAATCCAAGCTTAAATAATTATAAAAATTCTCAATGGAGTGGTTAAATAATTAAACTAAGCATTAAAAATGTATAGACAAATATAGGGAGCCCACTCCCTATGAAACAGTTGTTAAGGTAAGTATCAATTGTCTATAAATTTGTTCTGACAAAATGCTGGAATTTGAAGCATAAAACTACGCAGCTGTATTTTCAAATCGGCTTTTGAATATAAGTACAAAAGGAAATTAATTAAAAAAAAAAGTGACACTCCAAGCAAAGTAACTATCTTGGGAAAAATCAGGTTTATATGAATTTTCATGTAGTAATAAACATTAAACTAAAATTTTATCAACTTCCAATAATTCTAATAACTTTTACAAAAAACTTTGGTGATCTCAAAATGTAAGAGAATATCACAAAAATAAATAGAAAATGAAAAATAAAAAGGTATAAAGAAAAAAATTTTATTTTACTTACTGGAATATTAAACAAATAGTTTCCATTTTTATCAAAACCAGGATAACATTCAAAGAGCTGAGGAGGAAAAAAGAAAATCAAAATTATAGTAGTTTAAGTTAAATTTTTATATTATTTTCAAAAATAACTTACAGCAGTATTTTCATTTACAAATTGATCGTCTTAAACTGTCATTTCAATTTCAAAAATTTCTCTGTAAACAATTACATTTTGGTTTTATTAATTTTAATTTTTACAATATTCATAATTATATAATTTAAACAGAATTATTACTTTTGATAGTGCATATAAAAAGAATTTTTTCTATAGTATCTGGTATCACCATAATGTAATGGTTCTAGTGGAAGAACGTTGACTTCATCCTGAAAATAAAAAGCAAATGTTACAATTTCATTCTTTTGAAAGATCAATTTTTCAAAGAAAATATTTCCTCAAAAAATTGATGAAACTTCATTGTTTAATCCCAGAGAAATAACCACCGTTTTTTTTGCCTGGACCGCATTTAATCAGAGACAAAAGCTTATCTTTGTATTCTTTATTTACTTATTTACTATACATTTCGAGTGCAATATTTTTGTGTAACTTGCACAACTCTTCAGGTTTTACATTAACTAACCTGTTTTATGTTTAGACATACATCTGCCCAGTGTTGATGTTGTGTGATTTTTGAGAAAATATTTTCTTGAAAAATTGACCTTTTAAAAGAATATAAAGAAATCCACACCATTGATATAATACATATCTATTACTTACAGTATTACAATTTCAATAAAAAAAAAAATATTAAATTGTCACTATCATAATTTGGAAGTGTAAAAAATATCAGAATTTGTAACTAAATCTTACATAAAAATATATTATGTTGATATGTATGTCTTGTTCCTTAATTACTTTTATTATACTTGTGTCCACTTTGGACATTGTTGTGAACAAGGACTTGTTATACTGAGGAAAGAGAAACACATAATTTCCAATTAAAATATATTTATTGTAAATAAATAAATTTTAATTAAAAATTATATGCTTCTCTTCCCTCAGTATAACAAGTCCTAGTTATCAAAAACATCCAAAGTGAACACAAGTATAGTATTATGTTGTTTAAACATCTGATTAAAAGTTTAATTATTCTTGTAGAAAATGAATAAATATATTAACAATTCATATTTAAAGTTGAAATATACTCTTATTAAAGAAACTGAAATAATTTGTTAACTAGCAATGTTTTTGGCCTTTATTGATTGTTGTCAGTCATACAAAAAATAGATATATTTGAACTGTATAACAAAATATTAGAACAGAATAGAAATAATATAGAATAGAATTTTAAATAACTGATATTAAAAAAAAATGTACATTATTAGTCACATGTTGAGGTTAATGGCTTGAAAACAGCATTTGAAATTGCCTATTTATCTGAAGATAATGTTAATAGAGATGATAAGATACTAAATTCTGCCAATATCACCCAATACCAACCATTTTTCAATCGATCCACTCTTCGCTTCTATCCATACTCTACAGATTTGGTAATAAATAAAAGCCTGAAAGCTTATTGGTTTCAAGAATGTTCACTTTGTTCGCTAACAATTTAAATTCAAATATAAAAATTTATAGGTACTTTTCAAATATGGGGCCCCAGAAAATTGTAATTTTTAATTTGTCTAGGCTTGACTCAAGTCCTGTCTTTAGGAAAAAATTCAATATAGAATAGTTATATTTATTCTATATTCTATATATCTACCGGTATAGTGTTAAGTATAGAAAAATTGTCAGTAAAAAAGTTGTTGCCAAATTGTTAACTGGCTTGAAATATTACTAAATCTGACAATAAATTACTCACTTGTTGCCTGTCCATTGCTATAAAGCAGTGTTTTTCAACCTGTAAGTCGCGACCCCTAGGGGGGTCCCAAAGCCTTACACGGGGGGTCGCAAGTGAAAGAAAAAGACAAGTGCTTGTAGGTCCTACACTACAATAAAAAAATCTAGAATTTCAGTGAGAAGGCTGTGCCTGTTTATTTTACAGTACAATTGGTTATTCGATCGATATTTAAAGAAAGACAATTAAACACATATTTTTTAAAATCACTGATATAGTTTTAATATGGCCCTGGGGTCGCCAGAATTTTTTAACTTGTAAAAAGGTCGCGTATTCAAGAAGGTTGAAAAACACTGCTATAAAGCAACCCTACAAAGTTGGCATTCTCCAAAAGCTACAACAGCCGTATGTCACATGACCATCAGTGGTGCATCACTTGTGGAGAGGATGTTCTGTCTACCACAGATTACAAAACAATGCAAAGGATGTATATCAAAAAATAATAAAAGATCAGAATGTTAAAGCCAGAATATTTGCCAATTATTGACATATAATTAAACTAAGTTAATAATCAGATACGAAATAACTTGTCTAGAGGTAGACTGTTAAGCCACTATCTTACAATAACTAAAATAATTATAAATCAATTCTGTCTATTGGTTTGTAAAACAAACAAATTCTGATATATCAAGAACATTCCAATACGTCAATATATTGATATCAGTTATATCTCTAAATGCTAATTATAACCAAAAGTTTAATTACAAGTAACGTTTTATATATGTTTTTAACTTGTATGTTTTGGGACAAGATAATTATAAATTAGACAGCTCATAACATTATCTATGGTAAATAAGCAAATAATTCTACTATATTAAATGTTGATTTACATTCAAATGTCCTTAAGATAGGGAATAAGCATCCAAATAGCTAAATTTCTAGAGATAGCTTTGTTTTTATACAGAAAGACATAACATACATTATGCATAGTTGAATAAAGTCTTTAGAAGTGAAAATCAACAGTGTTTATATTTAATTTTGAAATTAAACGAGTGAATTTAGATCTAAGTGATGAAATTTACAGTAATTCATCTCAAACAACTGAGCACTGTGTTCAGTTTCAAAAATCAAGTAAAGATATGCATCTGTTATTACTAGATGTAATGAACAAAGAAGAGAAGTAAACTGACTAGCATCCTTCCTGGCTATTAACACTTTTAAAATTATTTCAGATACTTATTGGAAAACAAGCCAAGCAGACTTCAGAAGTATGCAAAACAGTAAATGCCAAAAAAAATGCCAATTAAAAATTCAATTATCGTCAAGTCTCTTCGTACATTATTAGGTAAATGAAACAAAAATTAAAAATTACTTTTTCATGTAAATTGATTTCTAGCAATGATAATTTTTATATATTATTTCAATATATATACTCTTAAACTGTCATTTCAATTTCAAAAATTTCTCTGTAAACAATTACATTTTGGTTTTATTAATTTTAATTTTTACAATATTCATAATTATATAATTTAAACAGAATTATTACTTTGGATAGTGCATATAAAAAGAATTTTTTCTATAGTATCTGGTATCACCATAATGTAATGGTTCTAGTGGAAGAACATTGACTTCATCCTGAAAATAAAAAGCAAACATTACAATTTCATTCTTTTGAAAGGTCAATTTTTCAAAGAAAATATTTCCTCAAAAACTTGATGAAACTTCATTGTTTAATTCCAGAGAAATAACCGCCGTTTTTTTGCATGGACCGTATTTAATCAAAGACAAAAGCTCATCTTCGTATTCTTTATTTACTTATTTATTACATATTTCAGGTGCAATATTTTTGTGTAACTTGCACAACTCTTCAGGTTTTACATTAACTAACCTGTTTTATGTTTAGACATACATCTGCCCAGTGTTGATGTTGTGTGATTTTTGAGAAAATATTTTCTTGAAAAATTGACCTTTTAAAAGAATATAAAGAAATCCACACCATTGATATAATACATATCTATTACTTACAGTATTACAATTTCAATAAAAAAAAAAATATTAAATTGTCACTATCATAATTTGGAAGTGTAAAAAATATCAGAATTTGTAACTAAATCTTACATAAAAATATATTATGTTGATATGTATGTCTTGTTCCTTAATTACTTTTATTATACTTGTGTCCACTTTGGACATTGTTGTGAACAAGGACTTGTTATACTGAGGAAAGAGAAACACATAATTTCCAATTAAAATATATTTATTGTAAATAAATAAATTTTAATTAAAAATTATATGCTTCTCTTCCCTCAGTATAACAAGTCCTAGTTATCAAAAACATCCAAAGTGAACACAAGTATAGTATTATGTTGTTTAAACATCTGATTAAAAGTTTAATTATTCTTGTAGAAAATGAATAAATATATTAACAATTCATATTTAAAGTTGAAATATACTCTTATTAAAGAAACTGAAATAATTTGTTAACTAGCAATGTTTTTGGCCTTTATTGATTGTTGTCAGTCATACAAAAAATAGATATATTTGAACTGTATAACAAAATATTAGAACAGAATAGAAATAATATAGAATAGAATTTTAAATAACTGATATTAAAAAAAAATGTACATTATTAGTCACATGTTGAGGTTAATGGCTTGAAAACAGCATTTGAAATTGCCTATTTATCTGAAGATAATGTTAATAGAGATGATAAGATACTAAATTCTGCCAATATCACCCAATACCAACCATTTTTCAATCGATCCACTCTTCGCTTCTATCCATACTCTACAGATTTGGTAATAAATAAAAGCCTGAAAGCTTATTGGTTTCAAGAATGTTCACTTTGTTCGCTAACAATTTAAATTCAAATATAAAAATTTATAGGTACTTTTCAAATATGGGGCCCCAGAAAATTGTAATTTTTAATTTGTCTAGGCTTGACTCAAGTCCTGTCTTTAGGAAAAAATTCAATATAGAATAGTTATATTTATTCTATATTCTATATATCTATAGTGTTAAGTATAAAAAAATTGTCAGTGAAAAAGTTGTTGCCAAATTGTTAACTGGCTTGAAATATTACTAAATCTGACAATAAATTGCTCACTTGTTGCCTGTCCATTGCTATAAAGCAACCCTACAAAGTTGGCATTTGTGAGATCAGCCGGGGTTACGGAGTAAGTATACTCTTGTAACACTTAATCGGCACTATTCCGTGAGAATAGTTCTCCAAGTTTCGGATCGAGAGATCCAATCTTATGTCAAGATTCGTTTGACCAGGAGGGCGGTAATATTTAGGGAAAAAGGGATTCAGTGAGGTCTTTATCCCAAATGTCAGGGTCCCGACACCAGTTAATCAATCTTATTATACGCGGATTAACACACGTAAGAGACCTTATTACGATTCAAATTAAAAGCCATATCTTATATAAAACAAACAAAAGTAAATTTAATGATTCAATAAGTAAAACTAATACAAATATAGAGGAACGAGGGATAATAATATGATAATTAATATACACGGTATGGGCATGGACTTATACTATACCAATGCGCGATTGAGAGAGAGCTCACAAAATCGTTATAAAACATACGACCTGTTTAGTTGTCGTTCGCCTTCTTCTCTGTATGCAAGGGACACTTTGGAGATAAAGTTCATTTACTTCTTCGTATGGGAGATCAATATGTGCACAAAATCCAAGTATGTTTTCTAAGTGCTAACTCTGGAATTATTCTGTATGTGACTCATCTAAGGACGTTGGTCATCGGGGGGAAACGTATGTGGAGATTGGATGCTTTCAGATCTGTCGCTGAACTCCCCAAATTCTGACAAATTCCCTGTATATCTTCTGAATTTCGACCAATCATCGGCCAGTAACTCTTTCATGAGAACGGATGAAAGGGGAATGAATGAGGGGTAAACATTTCCCATCTGAGCGGGATTTTAACCAGATAAGGGAAAGTCAGAGGATGTTCTCACTTCTGTGAAAGGAAGTAACATCTGTTATCTGCCTTTTCCAACATTAAAATATTATTTTTCTCACCAAAAATGAAGTAATATTTGGTGACAACATTTAACATAATTAATAAAAATTATTAAATTAGACCCAGGGGCCTTTCAGGTCTCACACATTCTCCAAAAGCTACAACAGCTGTATGTCACATGACCATCAGTGGTGCATCACATGTGGAGAGGATGTTCTGTCTACCACAGATTACAAAATAATGCCAAGCATGTATATCAAAAAATAATAAAAGATCAGTGTTAAAGCCAGAATATTTGCCAATTATTGACATATAATTAGGCTAAGTTAATAATCAGATATGAAATAATTTGTCTAGAGGTAGACTGTTAAGCCACTATATTACAATAACTAAAATAATTATAAATCAATTCTGTGTATTGGTTTGTAAAACAAACAAATTCTGATATATCAAGAACATTCCAATACATCAATATATTGATATCAGTTATATCTCTAAATGCTAATTATAACCAAAAGTTTAATTACAAGTAACGTTTTATATATGTTTTTAACTTGTATGTTTTGGGATAAGCTAATTATGAATTAGACAGCTCTTAACATTATCTATGGTAAATAAGCAAATAATTCTACCACATTTAAATGTTGATTTACATTCAAATGTCCTAAGATAGGGAATAAGCATCCAAATAGCTACATTTCTAGAGATAGTTTTGTTTTTATACAGAAAGACATAACATACATTATGAATAGTTGAATAAAGTCTTCAGAAGTGAAAATCAACAGTGTTTATATTTAATTTTAAAATTAAATGAGTGAATTTAGATCTAAGTGATGAAATTTACAGTACTTCATCTCAAGCAACTGAGCACTGTGTTTAGTTTCAAAAACCAAGTAGAGATATGCATCTGTTGTTACTAGATGTAATGAACAAAGAAGAGAAGTAAACTGACTAGCATCCTTCCTGGCTATTAACACTTTTAAAATTATTTCAGATACTTATTGGAAAACAAGCTGAGCAGACTTCAGAAGTATGCAAAACAGCAAATGCCAAAGAAAATGCCAATTAAAAATTCAATTATCATCAAGTCTCTTCGTACATTATGAGGTAAATGAAACAAAAATTAAAAATTACTTTTTCATGTAAATTGATTTCTAGCAATGATAATTTTTATATATTATTTCAATATATATACCTAATTACTATAATATACATATGTTACCTTAACCTGTGACATGCCTCCAATACAACAGCCCAGTTTTAAGTCTGACACAGTATACATAAAGAAAAACACAATGCCAGATGGTGAAAAAAAGGTTATGTGATCATTACAAAAGTATCTATCATGAAACATTTTTCTACAAAAGTACATAATAAACAGTAATCAATATCAAATAATGATAAAAACAGAACATTATTACTGCTATTGCAAAGTGTGTTATAAAAAATATGAGACTGATGAAGTTTCTTTGTATACAGTTTTACAGCTGGCAGTGTATTTGCTTTGTTTTGTTTCAACCGATGCACCTTGCATTTATAAATAATACTACTTAAATGAGTGTTATGAGTTTGATTAGCTGCATATGGTGGAGTCATAAGTCAAGGTATATCTGATATGAATAAATCTTATAAATTATCTTACCTTTTCAAAAGTTGATTTAGGTATATGCAATTCATTTGCAAAATCATTATGTTTATTCTCTCCACTTTCCATCAAACAAACAAGAAATTGCAGATTCATTTTAATGTTATCTATTAAAATATCATTTAAAAGTTTATTAAACCAATTGAAAATAAAACTATAGACGCTTAAAGTTAATCATTTTCTCTTAATTTTTTTTTCTAAAGACACATTTGATAGACATTTACAAAACACAAAACTTTTTGTTGCTGACCCATATAAAAAATGCTATAAACAAAAAAATTATAGGACTATTTACTAACTCTACAGTGTATGAGTTACCATTGGTTAAGCTCATTTCTGTCACAGAATATTACATTAGACAGCAAACACATAAAAAACATGTTACATGACTACTACAAAACATCATGCACCTCAGATGTATTTCCCAATGAACATTCTTCTTGCAGAAGACTTCATTCTTTTGAGTTGAACTTTGGAGGAATTACATGACAGAGTTGTCAGAAATGTCATTTTTTCACATGTGATTCACCTTTTTTTGAACTTCGAACAGACCACAGACCACAATTTGATTGTGGTCTGTGGTCTTAAACATTGTATTAGTTACATTTCTAGTAATACTGTAACCCGGTACAACTGGTACAACAGAGACCACCGACTTAAGATTTGATAACAATGATTTATTTTTTAGGCTTAACTTTGCAAAATTCAGAACAAATAAATTATCAAATTATTTTATAATTCAGATCAAATGCTTGTAATCCTAATAAATAATTATAGATTTGTTACCTAAATTTACAAATATACATGTTTTATTTAACTAATTGCTTTATTTTAAAATTTAACAGTATTGTATTTTCATCAATGCATACATTATGAAATTGTATCAATCCTTTTTTTAGATACTGACTTTTAATTTACAAATCAATTTCTTTACTCCATTTAGCCTTTTTTCATTCTTTATTTTCAGAAATAATGTTTTACCATTTGTCATTTTCTGATATAACTTATCTCAGCTGGTATTCTTGTAATATACTGTATGTAAATGAGTATTTTTATTATTTTCAAACTAAACATAGTTCGAAGAACAAACAGTTGAACAAGGTGGATTATCAAAGTCTAATGTTGGACAAAACAATTAAGAAATAGGAATAGAATAGATTAGAATCTTTTGTAATTTGTAGTAAAAACCAGATGTTAAAAGCAGAACTGTCAATAGAATGGAGCTGGGCAGTTTTCCCAGGACTATAACTGTTCCTACTCCTACAAAATTAAAGTTATTTTTACATAACAGAAAATAAAGTCTTTAAGACTGATTATAAAAATTATTTGATTCAGTTCATATTAGTGTATAATTCTGTAATTATTGTCAAAAAGATACCAGAAACTTATTAAAACATTACAACATTTTAACCACTCTGCAGTGATCGATGGATATACCCGTCAAGGGCAATCACGTGGCACTGGAGAACATCTATATCCGCAAACAAATTTTGTGGATATCAACAAAAACTAGCCAAAGATTACCGTGAAAAAAAATTCACATAAAAAGGAATTATGTGACAATAAAGAAGGATTTTTTCTTTACTAGAAGTAACTGTTTAAAAAATTTTTTTTCCAAAACAGAAACGAGAAAAATGTGTGGGAAAATTCTTAAAAAATTTCCCACGTTTATTCTCCACTACATCATGATAGTGCCATATCTGACTAACCCTCTCTACAAAGGTTAAATATGGATTTAAATCAATATATATCAATAATAATGTATTATAATTTGATAAATAACTATAATTCTACTCTGCATTTAAAAGCCCTTTCTCTTTGTCTTCTTAATTAATCAAAACTGAGTTTTATTATATTTATTTGATATAATTTGTTGCATCTAGTAATATTTATCATGATAATCTATATACAGTAGACCCCCTATAACACGGTAGATTGTTCCGTGTTGTACGAGTCACTTAAATACATGAGCCAATCACAGCCCAGCACGTGTGCAGTTTAGAGACTACAGCTGTTTGAAAGGTTTTCTTCCATAAAATTAAGCGATTCTAGACTAATTTGATTTGAACATTTCCAAAATACGTATAATTTTTTGGGAATAATCCATATAAACTATGCTATAAACAAAAAATTGTAGGAATACTTACCGAGTGCACACCGTTCGAAGGCGCCATTGCTTAAGCTTGTTTTCGTCGCAGAGCGGCTCATCGAACGGCGGACACATTTCCTGATAAGTTATTCTCATGACTAAAGACAGAATTTTAGATAACGTAAAAATTATAAAATTACAGCATTAGACTTACAGTACCTAATTTATATACTGTACAGAGGATAGTAAACTTAACTTTCCTGCCTAAACTCTCCATATATACATGTGGCACTGGACAGCAGCAAGCAGTTCAGCTGCTCGTCCATTATTGGTCCAGATTCGACCAATCCTGTCACGACACGACAATCTGTCTCATTCTTTTACCGTGTTATACAAATCTCTTTTAGTGTGTTATACAAACACAATCGCAATTTTTTCGCTGTGTTATATGAACTCGTGTTATAGGGGGTATACTGTAGTTATAGAATTATTGTCATTAGCAAGATGTCTTGTCTTCATTGTTTTATATAAACTGAAAAAATAAACTGGAGAATAACTGTTTTATAATTATTTAATATCACAAAAGTACTGGCTTGTAAACACAAAAATGTTGAAAATCACTGCTCCAACACATATTACATCTACTGTTTTAAATGAAACAATTTATTTCTAAACAGAAAAGTCTTTATATAAATGTCTTATTATTGTTATATAACTTGATTTCAAACTTTAAAATAAAACAATTAGTTATATAAAAAATGTATATCTTATCATAATCTGCATTATTCTGATAAAAGTTACATATTTATTAAATACTTTTGGGTAGAAATTTACCTAGGTAGTCCCAATGGTGGCACTTCCGGAATCGCAACATGCATATTTTGAAAGTTAATCTAGGTGTCACTATCTTTAGTTTACAAATTTTCTAATGTCATTTCAGTACTAGAATAATTTCCTAACATTTTATAACTGTGTTAAGAGTAATTTAAATTTTTAGGTTTCAAAAGTTATGTAATGTTGTGTGAATCATTTTTTTTCAAAGTTTACAATCCATATTTTGTCATTTATTATTGTAATGGCAGAGCTTGGAAAACATCAACAAATTTTATGGCAAAAGTGTGCTTCAAAAGATTTTTTTTCATTTTATAATATTGGAATATTTGGAATTTAATTGTGGCAAGAGAAATAAATCAGTTGGTATGTTTGCCATAAAGTTTGGTACGCAACCTGTAGATGCAGTTTGTTCGAAATGTGATGGTCGCCGTAAATTAAATTATCAAAAGGATCGTGATTCTGTTTCTTTTAGATGTCACAAATGCAAGATGACCAGTTCATCATTTGAAGTAATTTTTCAACGTAAATTTGGGAACATTTCGTGGAGAACTACTTTTTTGTTTATTTGGCACCCAATTTACATAGAATGCACGTTGAGCATCAACTGTTTGGCTGTGGGCGTGAGTAGTCAAACAGCTGTTGAATGGGTGAATTTCACACAACATATTATGATTGTTTCATCGTCTAATTTTACGGAAATGAAAATTAGATGGACCTGAAAAGATTGTCAAAATCGACAAGATAGTTGTGAGCAAAATGAAAAACTAGGAGAAAGGTTAGACCTGTTTATTCGGCATACGAGTAAGTTTTATCCAGGAGCGAGATGTGTTTTAGTTTGGAAAGAGCCAGATATTGTACCTTCAGTCCTGAAAGTAAGTGCCAAATAAATCTGAAAATCGTAAGAAGAAGAATCTAGACGTGTGTGTTAAGAATGCGGAAAAAGTTTCTATGATGGAAAAGGACAAAGTTATGATAGAATCATCCAAACCATGTTTTTCACCGAATAAATTGGAGAAAAAGAATTAGAAATATGTCAATGGTGAAAGATTATTTCTTTAAATGCTGGTGTAGTTAGTAGCTGTGCCTGTCGCCATCTTGCTTGTGGATGTCGTGTTCACAAACAAAATGATGACTGGAAGAGCCAAATTTGGGACTACCTAGGTAAACTTCTACTACTTTTGTAATTAGTCATGTTTACAGTTGTTTGATATGAAAATTAATCCTATTCTGGACAAAAATAATAGTGGCACATTTAGTTTCGTTGCAGTGCAGTTCCCTTTTATCTTTTAAAATTTATTTTCTTAGTTTTTAAAGTACTTTTTTTATCGAAGATTTTTTATAATTTTTTCCTTAATCTTTGTACTTAAAATTTTTATCTNTAAAAAAGAAAAAATTTAAAATACTTTGGAATGGTATTTAAAAGAAATAAGTAATATAATTAAATCCTGCCTACTGGAAACCATATAGTTATGTAAATCATCATAGAATGGGAACGACTCTAGAATCGAAGAGCTGAAAGAACGAAATGAAGAAAGAGAAGTCTAGTTACTTCGGTAAGGATTATTCATAATAATATATAAATACAAAGAGTTAATAAAAATGACAAGTTTAATAATATAAAATTTATATAAATCAGTATCGATATAAATATTAAATAAGAAAAATGTGCTAGAAGCTCATAAGAGGCTCTTCCAGATACTTAAGAAAACCTAAGTAAATGAGTAGGTAAGGATAAATTTGGAATATAGTCTAATATTCAAGTTCAACTAAAAACTAAGTTCTTCTGAGGTATTTTTATACGAAAAATTTTTTCAGAGGAAAGTATAGTGATACAAACAACAGTAAAAAATAGAGTAACTAAAATCTGCGAAGTGTGGCAAATTTATTTAGGTAAGAACTATTTACCTTCATGTTATAATAGTAAACTATTAATAGAAAGAAACCTTACTATTAATTTATATAAAATAGTATTAATATTCCAACACTAACGAATAAGATACAAAGAAGATAAGGACATAATAATTATAAGGAACATAAGGAAAAAGAAGAACTCTACCACATGTCCATTATAATTCTTTGTGACACCTCAAGAACTCTACTATGACTAAGTATGTAAGAAAAAATCCTGTTTATTGTTAATGCCTAAATGTTGAGTACACTAATAGTGTTGGTTTTTATAGTCTTCAAGGTATAGTTGAGTTTAAAAGAGACATTCTATGTCTGCAGCGTGAAGAAGTGAGATTAAATAATTAACCTGGTATCTGAAATAATCAAGTATATAGAGTATGGTTCCCGTTGGGAAAAAAATACATACAAAGAAGAAATTTTTTAAAAAAATGGTATGTTGTGTCTTACTTGTGTGTACTAAAAAAATATACTTTTATTTTGTGGTTTTAATTCATATGTCGGGTTATAATGTGTATATAATTGGTTTTTATATGTTTTAGTTGACTGAGGAGGGGCAAAAACGAAGCCCGAAACGTGTATAGAAACGCGTCTCAACAAAAGCTTGAATAAATGAATGAGTTATGCCATGTGTTGATTACTGTGCTACATTGCAGTTTTTAAACAGATATAAAGATACAACACGGTTTCGAAATATGGAATTAACTAACCTGTTTTATGTTTAGACATACATCTGCCCAGTGTTGATGATGTGTGATTTTTGAGGAAATATTTTCTTAAAAAATTGACCTTTTAAATGATGGAAAGGAGGTTGACAACATGTGGGAGGAAATGGGTGGAGCTAAAGGGAAAGAAAACGAAAAGAAGGGAAAACAGTCTAAAAATGCCTTAGCGGACACAACATCAACACTGGGCAGATGTATGTCTAAACATAAAACAGGTTAGTTAACTATTGTGTAAATATATCCAAAATTGTTGTAATTTACAGTAATAACAAATGTAATAATCAAATTTACCAATTTCTAGAAATGTAAAACCTGAAGAGTGGTGCAAGTTACACAAAAATATTACACCTGAAATGCATAGTAAATAAATAAATAAAGAATACGAAGATAAGCTTTTGTCTCTGATTAAATGCGGTACAGGGAAAAAAATGGTGGTTATTTCTGTGGAACTAACCCATGAAGTTTCATCAATTTTTTGAGGAAATATTTTCTTTGAAAAATTGACCTTTTAAAAGAATATAAAGAAAACCGCACCATTGATATAATACATATCTATTACTTACAGTATTACAATTTCAATAAAAAAAAAAANATTCCACACAAATATATTTATTTTTTCATTTTCGTGGCCAAATTATGCAAATATTATTACCGTCGACCTCATTCTTTCACTATTTCTATCAAACCTTACTCTACTCGTTACATCTAAGTACTAAAATCTTATGTAAATTTCTTTATATAGCAGCGTAGACCGAAAATTCGTATATACATTTTTCGCATAACACACACACGGCATGTCTAATTTAAGTATCGTCTACCCCCAAATATTATAACAGGACATTTTTCATTGACATGCCGCTATTAAACAAAATAGAAACTCTATAAAAGTATTGAAAAAAATATTAAAAAGCAAAATGCGTGGTTCGTCAAGAACTGCTTCGCTTCTCAAACGGTTTTAGGATATTTTAAACTTTATACACTTAAATACACTTAAAAACTTTTCGTAACAGTATAACAAAATAAAATTTTTACACGTATATGTTTTAAAAAAATTATTTAATTTTTATTAAATACAGTAGTACATTTTTTGAAGGCGCTTCGGTACGTTTTGAAATTTCATTGCGGCAACATTGATTTAGCCTCGTTCACAATCTCCATGATAAAAGTGAGTAACGTAGAATGAGTCATCATCAAATAGACCTTCAATTTAAATTATATTTATCGAATTAATAAATTTTATGACATAACGATTAATAAATAATATAAATTAAATAAAATTTTAAATTTCTGAGTACTCGTGTTGCTAGTTATTATCGAAAGACAGACTACGAGAGTAAGTCTTCCTGAAAGGTTTTGGTTCCAGTAGCCATTTTCNAAAGTGTACATCTATATGCCAACCTTTAGATGTTGGATTTCATAGACAATTAAAATTTTTAGCTAAAGAAATTTTAAATGCTATACAATTATTCTGTAATGATTCTTCGATGAAATTGTTTTGGACAACTAGAAACGGCATTATAAAATTACATTCGATTCTTTATCATCAATTATCTGCGCCAATATTTAATAATTTGATTAAACATGCATGGTTTGCTTCTGGACTCATAAATGAAAAGTGTCAATTCTTAAATGTAAAACAAGTTTGTTTTTCTTTTTTAAACACTGACAGTTTAAATTGTGTTGAGAGTAATTCCCAAAATCTTCAGTTTGTTAAATGTGCACGATGCCAGCAAGTTCTTTGTTTATTTTGCTTTGTTGAAAAATATCATGTAAATAGTTGCCCATCTAATAATTTGTGAATATTAGATAACTTTTAAATATATTTATTAAAATGTGTTTACTTATTACGTTTCGATTGTTTTCTTTATATTTATTCTATCATTATTTTTATATTATATTTCACTGGTAAAGTAGTATACATAGGCTATATATATATCTAATCTTTTATAACATTTATTTGAGTTCATTCCTTATTCTACTTTGTAAATGTAATACAGTGATACCTTGGTTTTCGTAGTGTTTAATATTAAAAATAATAAGAAATTAATATAAAATGAGTATAAAAAACTAATAAGATGGTCTCCGAAACAGAATCGCCATCTAACTGTTTTTGATTGATCGAAATTAATAACTTATTAACTGTTCAGCATCTTCAAATGTTTGCGGTCTCTGTTTTGTTTTGTTTACGCCTTTCGCTACATTAGCCTCCTTTTTGCTTCCTTTTTCGCCACAACGAAACTTATCGTGGATGGAGACTTCCCATACAGTATATGCGGCCGATTTCAGCAATCTAAATGCCGCTCTCTTATTTTTTAATGATTTCTTTCAACTCGATTGTGTTCCTGGCCTTTTTCGAAGGGCTGCTGGCTCTGGAAACTTTCTTTGGTCCCACAATGAAACTAAAAGGAAGGGACGCAATGGAATTGTTTTGCTAGACGCGCGGAGTAATGCCCATACAGCAAGAAACAACGCTAATATGACTTGTGAGCAGAAAAACGTGTGGATCACTCTTTGTTTTCGCAAAATTAGCAACAAGATCATGTGGCACGCCGACGAAATCAGAGGCAAATTTTTTGCAAAAAAGTCGACGAAAACCAAAGTCAATGAAAATCGAGGTATTACTGTAATACCTCGAAGTCTTTTAATAGCAAACTTCCATACTAAAAGACTTACAAATGGCTTATGAACAAAAATGAATCATGAAGCAAATTATATTTTGTGTAGAATTCGATTGTAATCAAAAATTTAATTTTTGTCCTGTATTTCTTTTGAATTTAATGATCGATGATTGCTTATACAAAGAATTTTTTTAAAATTAAGTAGTAGTTTAATACAAAAATAAATCTGACATTTAGTATTTTTAACTTAAAATTTATTGAAATTAAATTTTACTGTAATAGTTTATTAATTAATAATGACCACACAAAAATTCTGGGTCTGGGTAAAATGTAATATAGTTTATTTAATGTGTAATTTAATATAATCATTGTAGAAATTTTAAATTATATACATAAAATCAATATTATGGTTTATGCTTAAGTTGCTTAGAATTCTGTAAAATAACTTCCAGATAAGTCGACAAGCAAATGAATCGAATTCAGGGGAACGAAATCCTACAGGTTTCAGATCACTTGTGATTTTAAAGTTTGAAGGATCAATGATCCCGCTAAGCACCACCGTCGGTTACCTGAAGAAGGGCCTTGGGTGATGCCCGCAATCACAAAAATAAGCCAAAATAGGCTTTAGTCATTGACCAAATGGATCCGATCAAATAGTGAAGGCCCTATATGCCCCCACAAGGGATAGGTGGGGACGGGAAACAACACATTTGATCTTAGCCATAAGGCCGACCAAATCCTCGAGCTACAGATCACTTGTAGGTCAAATTTTGATCTTCTAAATCGGAAGTGAGCTGAGGTTTCCTTTCATTATATACGTGATGGGAAACGTTGCGCAGGAGCGATATCGTTACTAATGAAGTTGAAACTGAAGTGCGATATACGCTATGCGTAGATAATCTCACCAATAGTGGTGATTAGCGGGAGCGTTGATACCTCAAACTTTAAAAAGTTGGGAGTGGGATCGAGGTCGTAGTGAGTCTACGACCTCGATCCCACTCCCGATGAAGAACTTCGTTGACGTTCGGCTTTTATTAAAAGTTCTGCACGCTTATTGCTGGTGTTTTACAACTCCAAACCGTATATTTACAAATCGGCACCTCGAATTTTCAAACTTTTATTTCAGGCCCGTCTGGAACGTTTTCCTCCTACGAATTTCTTAAAAGTGTATTTATAAGTCGTCTTAGATTTGCTTTTTCCGAAATTACATTTCGTCGTTATCTCGCAAATTCAAATTTCTAGTAATATTTAAAAACTCGTTTTCAATCCATAATTTTTTTATTTCAACAAAATTTCCTCTAGCCCTAAACACTGGTGTCGCTTTCTTCCTTGCTCTTCTTTCACTTATCGTATTTGCACGTCGTCGACGAAATGCCGGGTGTAATCGGGCTGCGATTTGAAAAGATTGTAAACTTATAAATGCCCACTGTGGCCGTCTGTCCGGCAGTCTTACATTAATCTCGAGAACGAACTTAGATAGAGGAAAGACGAGATCAGATATGAAAACCCCGAGGGAAGGAAGCCCCGATTAAATATACAGAAACTTCCGATGTCACGTTATTTCAGTTAAAAATTTTTCCCGAAAGGTGTTAGATAGGTGACCGGCACGACTCCATTGTTAGAGGAAAAGTATGATGTACAGGGACAAGCTTCTGCTAATTTATACTAATATTATAAAGAGGTAAAGTTTGTAAGTTTGGATGTAGGAGGTAATCTCCGAAACTACTCATCCGATTTCAAAAATTCTTTCACCAATATTTAGAATGGACGTTCAGGCTGTATATTATTCCGTTAAACATTCATATAAATTGAAAGATATTATCTAGGTGAGCGTTATATTTTTGGCGTCCGAACTTGTAATATATAAATTTACATGTCCTGACTGATTCATCATCGTCCGGAGCAAACCGCTGAACCTAAAGACGTGAAATTTGGTACACAGTTAGGGTACTTCATGAAAATGCACACTAAGAAGGGATTTTTCGAAATTTACCCGCGGGAGGAGAGGGAAAGGTTTAATGCTTAACCTGAAGAACGTCTTCTACTGTACTATTTTAGATGCGAGTTTTTGTTTTTATAGTAACGACTAATGCGATTAACAGCTAGTTTCACATATTTTAAATTAAGTAAATTTGAAATATAATTAAAAATTGCAGCCCGGCAGTTTACAGTTTTCGCCTACCTCTCTTTAGTCTATAAAGGATAAAATCGTTTTGTAGCATACAGTTAAGAATTTTTTTTTAACAAAGATGTAAAATCTTAAAATAATTTACCAAGGTGTACAATCTTTGACATCAATGGCGGTCGCGTAACATTGTTCTTTTATTTTTATACACGACGTACTTCCATTCATCGTCTATAACATTGCGCTATTCAAATTAATTAAGTTATTATTTTTAATCGCTATGTGCTCTGTACATTTCCGTAGACAAAGTAGAAATAAAATTTTAATATAATCTTTATTAACTTGTTTTCTTCTTGCATAAATGTATAACCTTTTTGGAATCTTTATTAATTTTTACTACAATGTATAAAGCAAGGTGATTGGATATTTTTTAATTTAACCTCGAACGGATCACCGGTGTTCTCTGCGCACTTAATGTTCTGTTAATTAATTAACTGGTCTGCCGTGTTATTCTGTAATCCGAGTACGGGCTACCTTGTAATTTCTTTTTCAAGATATTCTTTTAAGTTATACAAAAAAGAATTGCAAAAATCTACTAACGGCGGCCTACATTTTCTCCCGGCTTTATGAGTTTTGAATCTAACTTTTAAAATAGGTGTTGTGCTCTTCGATGGATCCAATATAAATCGTTTCTCTTTCGCATCTATCCACTTTTCTTAATGATTTTTATAATTTCTTTATTTATATTTGTTATTATTTCAGTTGTAGAATCTTCTTTTAGTTCTATAAAATCTTCATTTTTGACCAATTCCAACCGCTGGTTTCTTTCCCATTCGTTTGCAACTAAAAGAAGTTATTCCGCTTTATCCGCTCTAAGAACAATTATATTATTTTGTTGTAGGCTTGGGGACACATTTCCAACTCCTTCCTGTCGACCAACCGTCGAAATTCGAAGTCGAAGGGGAAAAAATTAACAGGAAATATTTTTTGTAATAAATAATAAATTTTGAGACTTAAACATTTGAAATGTATCTAAAATAAAATCGATATAAAGTAGTCCTTGTCTACTTTTTTCTTTCGTATTCAAATTTCCGTTTTTCGCAGGAAATTATTGTCGAAATGGTTGATGGGTGGGAAGTCTAAATGCAACCTGTCAAATCTTTGGCGACTTCTCGCTGATTTCTGGTGTTTACGATTAAAATAATTTCGATTCGTCACTGCGCAAAAGTAATGCGGGAAAAGAATACAGAAAAGTAATTGTACAGCGGGCCCATCCGAAATATACATGGGGTCTTGTCCGATCCGAAAAAGAATTTAAGCAATCCCATATTGGCTATTATTGTAATGACGTTACAGTCGATACGGCAGTGGCGTAGCGTGGGTGTCAGCCGCCCGGGGCGGAGGAAAATTTCGCTGCCCCCTTATTTAGGTATTTCAATTTAAAAGAAAAAAAATTCAGTTTCGTCACAGAATAAGTAATGAAAAATTCCGTGCTCATTTCAATCGGTCCGAATCGCAGGTGCGACAAAAATATGAAATTAAATGTTTCAAATTTTTACAAGATATTATTATTATTTATTGCGAAATTTCGTCGCTCCCTAAAAGTGCCGCCCTTGCCATTCACATTACGCTACGCCACTGTTTTTCATATATCCGAAGAGGATTTTTATTTTTAACTGCCGTAGGTGGCGTTAAAAAACGAACGAGAATACCGGAGGATTACCCCGAAGAAAAATGTCTTAAGTCAACACTGTACGTAAGGCCACCAATTCAAATTTTTCCGTGTCCCATGAATCTATAACGCGACACTGTAAAGATATTAATATAAGATTCAGTAAGTGGCCGAGGAATTAAGGGACCCGGGATCGAATCCAGAAGGATCAAAAGATCCCAGGAATTTTTCGGTTGTGCTCGTCTTCATCATCTGGCTGAAACCATAATGGGCTTGCCAAAAAGACCCTCTTAGTGCCCACGGAGCGGAGAGTGTCAAAAAGAAAATCTAGAGTCTCAACTAATATTTAATAAAAATTAAATTATTTTTTTAAAACATATACGTGTAAAAATTTTATTTTTTGAATTATATTTTGTTATACTGTTACGAAAACTTTTTAAGTGTATTTAAGTGTATAAAGTTTAAAATATCCTAAAACCTATTGAGAAGCGAAGCAGTTCTTGACGAACCACGCATTTTGCTTTCTAATGTTTTTTTTCAATACTTTTATAGAGTTTCTATTTTGTTTAATAGCGGCATGTCAATGAAAAATGTCCTGTTATAATATTTCGGGGTAGGCGATACTTAAGGAAGAAACTTTGCTAACTACAAATTTGTCTGAAATTGACCCAGGCAATGTAAGAAATCATCAATATGTGCAGGAAATATTACTTGGTGGAAGAACAATGTCTTTTTTAGAAACTGAGCTTCTTTCAACCATTAATGTCATGCGATTTAAAGAGGACTGCTTAAAATTTCTTGTTGACCTTTTCAAGCAAATGACGATGAGATTTTCGTTCGACCCAAATGGCGTTATTGACAAACTGCAAGTGTTAGACCCATTAGTAGCGCATGGCCTAAGCCAAACACCAAGATCTCTTGCAAGTTCGACAGTTCATTTCCCAGCATTAATTGCGGAACTTAACCAGTTAAATGACGAATGGCGATCATTTCGTTTAGCAAAAGATTTGGTCACACTATATAATAGAATACCAGAATATCGGTTCTTCTTGGTTAATATACAGGATGGTTTGGGTAACTGTAAATATGCTTTACTATCTCAATTTATGACGCAGCTTACAGTTCTTTCACATTTTCCAGCCAGTGTCGAGAGATTATTTTTGCAAATTAACAACATTAAGACCGAACAAACTAACAGGTTAATTATTGAATTAAGAAAAGTAAGAAAAATCTTAGCTGTTCTCTGTATGAACCCGAACTAATTAGAGATGCAGTACAAGGAGTTTGCCACTAAAGATATAAGAAGTGATAAGAAGAGCATATTGTGCAGTACTGTTAATGAAAAAGAACAGAGTAGTTGTGAAATAACATTAACTACTTTTTTATATATACATAACTCTTTTCGCCCTGTGGGCACTAAGAGGACCTCTTTTCTTCAAGCCCATTATGGGTATGGGCGGGCCCACAGTGGGACGACCGAGTGGTGCGGGACCCGAACGGTGCCCGACATATCCGGACGGACCACCCTTCGAAAGTTTTCTGGGGATTATTTGACCCGTCCGAATTCGATCCCGGGTCCCCCAGAGCGGTAGGCTGCCACCTTGACCGCTAGGCCATCTGGCCTGGAACATTAACTACTATGTAAATTAGGTTTTTTTAAATTTTTATTATAGTGTTTGTAATTATAACAGCATGAATGTATAAAGTATTTATAATTACATTTTAATTATGAATTTTTCTGGATAAATTATCTGGGATTTTTTCCTTATCTAGACCCAAGTTTTTTCATATGTCGCGAGTGGCAACGTTGTTTCAACGCGCGCCCAAGAAATCTTTCCTAATCTCGCAATATACGAACATTTATCCATTAATTAAAGTCTATAATGTGAACGTTTAAATGAAGAAATATATTATATATTTTAACGAATAATTATTTATTTAACATTTCTGTTTAAATATATTTACTGAAATGTTTATGATAATCTTAATTACGTCATAGATATTAGCAGACGTAATTTAACCGAATTTATTTGAAAATAAACAAATGGATAATGAATTGATTTGTAATTTTAAAAAATGTAGAAAACATTTAACTTCGTTGGCTTGGGTAAATTAAATTATTGTTATTGTGTAATCAACATAAAATTATGTCAAATTTTGCTTGAAGAAAAAAAAAACACTATTAAAAATTGAAATTATATTTTTTCAGGTCACATCTTGTTCTCATATCCTTAAATGTTTAATGAGAAGTTTATAAATTAAATGAAAATATAATGTAAGTTGTCTGAAAAGTGTGCAGAATGGCTACAAAGTCCCTATACATTATGTTGTATCTGATCTGTTAGGAGAATATTTCTGGTACAAATTCGGTGGATGATGGACAGATTCGGTACGGTGTGGCCTACGGGAGTCTGCCAATTAATGTGGCAATTTGTTTTGGATATTTTTAAATGTTTCTTTCTTCTATCCTATAACAGGTATAAAAAATGTAAAAACAATTATTGGGAATTGCATCAAACATCCAACCGTCCACGTGGAATGTCCGGAGAATGTCTGAGGAAAAATTAAAATTTGTTCGGGGAGGAAGCATATGGATAATTTCTAATTAGTGTGCGTAGGAACTTTGTAGTCTGTCTGTATAGGAAAGGATAGTTGATGTGAATGGCGGTTTAAATGGTTTGATTTGAAAGCATGTATATAAAAACACATTGTTGCAGGAACCTGTCCTTTTATATTTCTGATACTATGTAATAAGCTGCACGTAAAATATTTGTCTGATATTGTTGGGGCACTTTCTGTAACTGTGCATACAACTGAATGCAAAATGAAACGTAAAAGAGATTTAAAATTTTTAATAAATTTTATTAGAATTTACGTGTTTTGCTCGGCTTCGACCATCTGTGAGTACGAGGAGTCCAGATGGGCAATGTGACGTTTGTGGGCAAATCTGTTGTGGGATGGTAAATTGCTTGTGGGCCTCCGTGACCGATTGTATTGCAGTATGTATCTGAGCAAGAGGACATAATAATAATGTTTTCTTAAAATTGTATTGTTTTGCCATGGGAAACTGTAATTATTTATCACTATTGTCATTATGTTCACACTAATAAAGTTTCATTCGATTCCAATGCATCCTCCTTTGTACATAACTTTTTTGTCAATGAATGTAGATATGACTGAAAGAATTCAAATTCTATTGACTGGATATGTGTCATTTCTATATTTTGTTATATCAAATCTTGGTTAATTATTTTTTCTTTTAAAAAATAAAATTTTAATATCTAAGATACATAGAAAAAAAATTGCAAAATTTGTTTTTTGCTTAAAATATTTCATTGAAATATTTAATATATATTCTCAATGTTTATTTTTGTTGAAATAATATATATGAAGTGATGCTATAATAATCTCTCTTTATTACAAGCCGTTGTTAAGAATTTCTAAACATTAACGTTGGAAAATTATGGTTTTGTATAGGAAAAACTGCTGAAGTGGCTGAAAGGGTTTGCTAAAGGCTGAGAACGCTTGGATATAAAAATTTTTAAAGCTTCTTCTAAGTAGATTATATGAAGCTTTTATGTTGAATTCCCAAGAACTGTAGTTACATGTTATGTAGTACTGTATTTATCCATGCTTGAGAATAGTTCATTAACTGATTGAAAACTTTAGTGTACCTTCAACTTCATCCACTATTGAAGTTACATTGATTAATTCAGCAGTTAGGCTATATATGATTATTGCTGCATATATCCATAATTAATTTCATTACCAGTATTTATTAGTACTTTTTGCTTTTAATATTACAATTTAACTGTAACTTGTGTTATTTTAGATCAATATCTAATGATGTTGATTTCACCATTGTTTAATGTTGCTTGAACATACATCCAGTTTCGTGTTTACTCAGGCAGTGTTATGATAGTTGAAAATAAACAAACTTCTTAAAATTAATATTAAAGATTTAATTTAATTTAGAAGACTTAAAACAAAGTTGAAAGATATAACAAAATTTATTTCCAAATTGTATAAACATTTAATGGCTTATAAAATTTATTACCATAATTTAATTTTAATTAGAAATTCCGTAATTTATAATACATATATTCTGCAATGAAGATGGAACAAGAGAATTTGAAAAAGCATTTATTTGTCCTGCCTGTAAGTTTTCATATTAAAGTAATTTTAAATTAATTCTACATTGTTATACTATTGTTCATCTATCAATATATAAGATGTCAATTTTTTTTTTTCATTTATATTTAAGGTGATTCTCAGTTACCAGGAAAATTTGATGTTGTTAGAGTTGATCTGAATCCTTCTGAACAGTACAAATCGGTATGTTTACATTTTCTTAATTATATAATTTTTATATTATTTTTAATTTAATATTCTGGTAATGAAATTGACTAATAGTCAATATAGTCAGGCCTTATTCTAAGGTTTTGATCCTACTGCACAAGTATCAGTTTTGTTTTGGCCAAGCTGATAAATTGTAGTGTTAATAAGCTGTTCTAAAAGACATAAATGGAAAATAATGACAATAACACAAATCTTATATCTGTATAATTATTTATTAATTTCAATCACCATACAATCTTAATTGTTAGACATGCACAATGTGCATTGTGCACCTGCATGTAATGTAATTTACTGTATAATAAGTGTGCTTTGGTTGTGGATTATAGTTTAAAAGATAATATTGATGTAGCAGCTGCATAAAAAATATCTATTGTATATATTCAATAGAAATGTAAATCCTATTAACATTCCTTCCATAGCTGCTTTTTCTGGGCCAAACAAAATATACAGTAAAACCTGTGTACTTGTACTGCACAGGTACCAAATATTTTTTCCAGTCTGATAGGTTTCCGTTTTGAACAAGTGCTTTTTTAACACAGAAAATTCTTCTGTTCTGAAGAATTTTTCCCATTTAAGGAGGTTTTCTTTTTATTCAAGTGCCATTTTGGACAGGTTTTACTGTATATTGTGTAATTTGGGTATAATATGACTAGAAGATCTTAATATAACTAGAAGAAAGACATATGCTTTGTCAGCAGAAATTTCATTCCATAATCCTGCTGGTCTCTGCACGTAAATATGACATGATGCTGGATTACTAAATATGCCACCATATACTTAATTAACATATATTAATAAATGAATACTACTATATATTTATTTATAATGTGTTATCTACATATTTTTTGTTTGTTTAAATGAGCAAAAGTTCATTATGTCAAATTTTGAGAAAAATAAATGTTATTAAATATGAATTAATTCTATTTTTGTAAGGTGACTAAAAATACAGAAGATCTAACAGACCTTATTTTCAGGAAGTGCTAAAATACTAGATCTGGAATTTCTATTTTTGGGAATAATCTGCTAATTGAATACAGATCAAAAAATCATAATTTACAATTAAATTAAGTTAAATTAATCAATTAAGTTTTAAATAATTCTTACACAATAAACTAGTTACAAAATTAGTAAAATTAATTTAATTCAAGTTTAAATGAGATTTGAATTCAAAAATGTCTAAATCCAATAATTAGTTTCCAATTATTCATCGTTCAAGTGAAATTTACGCAAAAACAATTCAAAAGATAATCAACCATAAATTTAACTTAAATGATTTCCAATAGACACATATCCAAAGACAATTAGAAAATTGATTTATGAGGTACGAGATTGTCACTTAGATCAATTACAGCCATTACCTCAATTCCTCTCTGCTGGCCATCAAACTTGCCAGTCCAAATGCCCAGTAATCCAATACCATGGGACGGTGCACATAAAATTCTTGTGTTATCAGTTATTGATGTATGCAACAAAAAGAGATTGATGTACAGTACAGTACATGTATACTATCAGTTGCTACTTGTTGCCTGTGTGGTCAGCAAAACAGCCACAATTGAGATTAATATGATAAACTAACTTGTACGGTACATACATATAAAATCCAGTAATACTACTGTAATCTGACACTCACCAGTCCAATATATGTCAGATTATAGAGACTCTACTGTGTTCATTATCATGTTTATACAAATAATTGTCATTATTTTTCCTTTGTTGACAAACTTCAATTGGAGAATATATTAAAGTAATAATATATAAAGGCTTTTTGGTTGAGAATTATGTTCTAAATGATTTAATTCCAAACTCATTCAGTTAAGTTGTTTTCATTTTGACAGAAATATGAAGTATTTCTCTCTAAATTAAACATAACACCTCAAAACTAAAATTTAATAAAAATAAGGTTCATTCCATTTCTCTCAGTTTTAAATTAAAATATAACATTTCTGATTTTTAACACAGATGGTATTGGCAGGCCAAAAACCTGATATAATTTTAGAAATATGCTCTAAAGCTATTGCATTTTGGACATATCAAGTAAGAATATTAATTTAATTTTTGTTATTTTTTAAATGTAGAAAGATAAATATCTTTTAGATTTGTTTCTTTGGGATTACCAGCATTATTACTTAAATGTTTGCATCAACGTACTGTAATTCACTAAATTGATTTTGCAACTTGACCGGTTTTTCAAGACTCCTAGGCTTTCAACTCAACCTTTACTAAATATATTCCAAACAATTCATATTACAAATGGCACCAACAATTTGTACATTTATTTTATAGTTTTAACTATTATTACTGCTGAGACATTTGAAATGTTTAAAGTTGTTGATGTCAAACTTTAAACATTTCGAATGTCTTAGTAGTAACAACAGTTATAACTATAAAAAATGTACAAATTGTTGGTGCCATTTGTAATATGAATTGTTTGGAATATATTTAATAAAGGTTGAATTTGAAAGCCTAGGAGTCTTGAAAAATCGTTAAGGTTGCAAAATCAGTTTAATGAATTATGTTGACACAAACATGTAAATGTTTTGGATTATTTATTTTTGTTTATTTAAGATTATTGTTTTCATTTTAAAATAAATTAATTGTTAATATAGTTTAAAATTGACTTTTTGAATTAAATCAGTTAAGTTGTACAGAATATCAGTCAGTAATAATAGCTTTTTCTAATTATTACTATGATTCTATTGTTAATGAATTGTGTAAGTTATTTAAAAAATAAATGTAAAATGCATTATATTTTGTGATAAATTACATCTTTAATTACATTATTAATTGAAATCCAGTTACCTGTTTTGTTTTCTGTGGACATCATCTTTAAAAATGCATATTATTAATAAAGATATATTTAACTCTACAAATATAAACTGAGCAATTTAAAGTTGAAAAGTTAAATTAAATATAAAATAAAAAAAGGGTGAAATGTAGAAGATAGAAATAAAGCATATATCAAGATGATAGTGAGGATCTTAATTATTGTATGGATAAAAGATAAAAATTCAGAAGTAAGAAATGGTCAAAAAAAATTGAAAAATTGATTGTATTGATATTTCATTATCAAGTAACAGAATAGTTAACAAAGAAATAAAGTATCATAAAATTTTAATGAAGAATTAGTCCTAGGTTAATTCAGTTCTGTTTGACTAATAAACAAAGTTTCTGATTGGATAAACTTTTCATAAGTTCATATTTTCTCTAGAAGTGTTTTAAAAGAGTTTATTAGGTCAATTGATGATAATCTTAATTATTTGATCTAATTATAATAGATGATGAAACATACTGATTTAAATATGAGCAACAAACCATACAAACCATAGTATAATGACTTAAACATAAGTTCAAAAATTGTTTATTTTGGATTAACTTAATTAATATCAAGAATTTTTTTTTGATACTGTGTGCTGCCTCTTGACTTCTTTGTGCCATTAAAAGTAATGTATAGATGTAACATATAACAAATAAAATGAAACCAGTTATTTTTCATTGAAGAAAATGAAAAATCAATGGCACTTAACATCAAAAAGGTTAGTTGAAAGAAAAAAATCTGATTTCTGATGTTAAATTGATGAATTTAACATCAGAATCAGATGAGATTTTTTTTCAAACCACTTGAGTTTTTTTTCTTCTAAACATTTGTAACAAAGATCAACAAATTTTATGAAACACATTATCAGGGGTTCTAGAACAAGAAGATTGAGTAAAGGCCATGGCCCACTTATTTCTTTTCCTGCTAAAAAATTAAACAAAGCTTAATAAAACAGGAAAATTTAATTTAATATCACGTTTAAGCTAGCACTGGTCTCCACTAAAAGTTTGCTTCCATAGCTCGTGCAGTTTGATTTCTAAAATCTAAAATAAAAAGCAACATTCATCATTAACATTAGTAACATTCATAACAAAAGTATCATTCATAAAAAGTTTGTTTCATTGGATTAGAAAGTGAATAAAGAATTATTATATTCTGAACAGTTAAAATAATTCACTGAATAGTCTCAGAACTTCATAAACATAAACAACTTGAAGAATTAAAGAACTAAATTATTTTCATTATTCTTCTAAGATTTTTTTTATTGCAGACTATTTTTTCTTCTTAAAATTAAATTGGCACCAGAATGAAGGCAGTTTAAGAAAACAGATGACATAAAAGTAATTGTAATAAAGGAATTTTTACCAGTAAAATTGAATGAGATTTAAAAATGTTTAAAATGTGAGATGAAAGATTTTAAGTAACAGGTTGTGATACAATAAAATTTGTACAAACAAAATTTTATTAAAAAAGACAACAGAATCTTTACAATCAACTAAATTGATTGTAAAGATTCTGTTGTCTTTTTAATAAAATTTGCACAACCCATGATGTCAGCAAAGGAGAGTACTCCCAACAAACACTCAAGCACAATACAATAAAATTAAACAAGGAGAAAAAAAAAACATGAAAATGTATAAAATATTTTAAGTAAAACAGAAGGCTTAATATACTGGAAGGACAAGAAAAGTGAACTAAATAATTAAAACTGACTATTAATACTAATCTTAATTAATTAATCTTAATTTTGGTTAATATGCAAGAGGATTTTTACTGATACAGGTATACCTCGACTTACGTCGTTCCCGATTATATGTTGTTTGTCAAAAAAGTATATGGAAAAATAAAAATCAAGTTTAAGTCATTTTATTCGACTTTACGTCTGTCCGCCACAAATATTGAAGTCGTAATATCACTAGAAAAATGTTTAAAACACAATAAAATCATATTATAATATATAGACTGCATTTACAAGTATATACTGTATTTACAGTACAGTACATGCATTCGTAAATTTAAATTACTTTTTTCTGTACTATATTAAAAACTAAAATTTATTTGTTTGTAAGCTTAAAATAGATCTTTATTAAATATATATTATTAAAAATGCATTAATAAATAAAATACAGAACGGGAATTGGTAATTTATGGTTTAGCCTAGTGGCAAGTAGATTCGGAGACAAGTAAATTCGACTTACATCGTTTTTCGACTTAAGTCGTTCTCCTGGAACCAATTACCGACGTAAGGCGAGGTATACCTGTAGAGGGCAAAAGTTAGAAAGACAAGTGAAAGAGAACAAAGGGGTACTCAAGTCTTTCATTGGATGAAATCCTTTTCAAACAAAAATGGGAGCTTGTGTTCTGGAACTTTTTCTTCTATCAAAAACCTGAATGGGACATCATCTTTTCTTGAAAGAATCTCCAAAAATTTGTGATATCATATCAAGTATTTGATTTTCTTGGCTTCTCAGATAGCCACAAAGATCTCTTGCTTAAGAGTAAACAACCACTCACCACACCAAAATATTATTAATCAGTACTCCAAACTGATTATGGTGTGCAGATAAAGAAAACAAACAAAAACAAACGTTTTCAAACTCCTTCTGAGTTCTTCATCAGGTTTTGTAGTAATTCCCTGATGGGTCTTAACAGCTTTTTGATTAAACTTTGAACCAGCATTCAAATATAAGTTTGAAAAATTATTATTTTTTTGAACTTATATGTTTTCTTTATCTGCATCACCATAATCGGTTTGGAGTACATGATTAAGATCTCTTGCTGTACAATTGTCACTTTCCTGCTAAACCAGGCTAAACATTGTCTCTTTTCTACTCTGTTGTGTATGTAAACCATCAGGTGATAACCCACATTGAATTTCCCCTTGGCCTGGTCAGATGACTTCATATATTTTCACCTTTGTCGTGTTTCTTTGTCTCCAACATCAGTCTGCACTAGCTGTGAGTAAGTTCCAATCTGTACACACAATGTTATGTTTTGCATAATAATAAAGTTTTAGTTATATATGTTTAACAAGGTAGTCATTTACTTTTACTCTAAGAATGTAACACACACTCATCCAAAAAGTGTCCTTTTGAGATTACTTCATTTCTTTATAAGCCGATCACAAAACCAGTCAGACCAGTTCTTAATCTGACAAAAGAGGGCTTTGGAATTGGAGTGGACCCCCATCAGCAAAGAAGAAAGACAGCACTAAGATAATAGAAGAAAATGAAAAAAAAGATAAGGGAAAAGAAAAATTAATACAGTACTAACTTCTATAAATTATGGCATTCAGCCACAAAACACCTCATGAATGAATATAAATGTGTAAAGCATTTCAATTAAATTACTTAAATTCTGACAAGTGGTTTTGTTAAATTCACAGTCATAGAGATCAGCTGAGAAATTTTGTTCATTTATTATGCATTAATATCATTTTCCATGTTGATTAATGAGAATGTTCCTTAATTAAAAATTTAAGAAATGTTAGGACATTTGAAAGTGCAAAAGCAAAACAATTTTGTAATATAATGTAAATGTTAAAAAATAATCTAAATTTTTTAATAAGATATTATTGTTTAGATTCATCAAGAAATAATGTTTCAAGAATATATATCTTCTAAAGCTAAAGACAAATATAAGCAACTTGAAAAATACTACGAAAATATTTTGGAACGATCTCGAATAGAATTGAATTGTATCCTTTATTATGTTTAACAATTAGTTTGTTCTAATTATTAGAAATGCTTTTAAGTATAAAAAATTTCAAAACAAAAATACAGTAAACCTCCTCTAACTTGGATTAATAGGAGATGAAGATTGTCTGTCTGAGTTAGTGGAGTTCAGGGCCAGCCTTGGAGGATGCAGCATGTGCAAAGCACTCAGGCCCCAAGCAGTACAAGGGGCCCCAGAAAAAGTGAAAAAAATGAAAAGAAAGAAAATTAAAATTTTTAATGAGTTAATGGGTTAAAACTAACTTTATTTTATAGTGACTAGAATTGTCCATGCTGAAGCCAAACTGGCTATATCTAATGCACAGTGAACTTATCTTGATTACAAATACCAATTACTAGTTCATATTAAAGTTATGCTAATGATGAGCATACATGCAATAATAACTGTACTTTTCTGACATCACCTGACACATATTCATATCTGTCAACTTGTGGTCTAACACCTTTATCTGTTAAAATCTGAACTATTTATTATTGTTCTAAGCCTTTTGTATACATGATATATGTTGCTTTCTGCTATTTTCATATACATATGTAATGAATACTTTATACATACATTGAGAAATGATAGAGTAACAAATGGTGCTATCAATAGGCATTGTCTAGTCATAGACATATGGGGTATGATGTTTTGATTAAGGGGGACACAGGAGTTGATTTTTTTCCTCTGTCTCCTTAACCAAAGTTTTACATGAATAAAAACACAAGTTCCAATTTAAAATTTGCCCTCACTGATAATTTGTTAATCTTTTTGCTTTCTGTGTAGTTTTTTGTTCTTGCTTTCTGGAAGGGCAATTGTGCATCATCTGCTCCCTGCTCCCTGGGCCTACTTCTATAGTTACTGTAAAGTAAGCAAAGCCAGCAATAGGCACCAGTAAAGTAAACATATGTTTGGGGTGGCATTGCTCCAAAATATAATTCTCTAAAATATAAAACATTAAAATTTGACATGTGGAGGTTGTTGGAGGATCTGTGGAGTAAACAAATGGGTTCCACTTAATGGAACCTCACATCTAGCATAAACCTACTGGAAAAGGAATGAGAAGTCACATGATGGAAAGCATAGGAGAATCTTCTCTAGCCTCAAGATAGGCCAAAGGTACATTTTGGTATAATCATGGGATAAAGGCAAGGATGAAAATTAAATAAGAATTCTTGACATCTACATTTTTTCATTGTATGATTGTATTGTTTATCATTAGTATTAGATTTATCTCATTTTGCTTAAACTGTTTTGAAAATACATCAATATACATCAATGTTCTGTCTGATAATTTTTACTTTCTTGGTTCTGTTATATAAAAGAGAGAAAGTATGGCAATTGGTCAAAAAATGACCCTCCAAGATTTTTATATTTTTGGACTTGAGACCTTGAAATGTCAAGAAATGCAAAAAAATTTGGGGGTAGTTTCTATATATATGGATGTTAGTGTGTGGGGGCATGATTTTGTTCATCCTGTTTGAAGCTTAAATAATAACTCCTGTGCATTTTGTCAAAAATTTCTGAAATATTGAGTATTTGTGTATTAGGAAGATTGATGCTATTAAATTTTGTGGTTAAAAGTCAACAGGGTCATGTGTTATATTTCAAGTAGATTGGACTTAATGACAATTTTACTTGTTATTAGCATTTAGTGTATTTCATAAAACCTGTCCTTACCCTCAAAATTAAGCTTTTTACCATTTTATGATAATGAAAAATATAAAATGTTTTTTTTTTGTAAAATATCATAACAGATGGTATCATGCACACACACACATACACATGATGTTGCCTGGAAAGTTAAGCAATTCTTTGCTAGAGTTTTTTATTTGGTTTGATAGGAGCCTCTTTTTTGAAAGTTGTTGTTCAGTTTTTCTTGTTTTAAGATTTTGCATTTTAACCTATTTAAGAATATTGTTAAATACAAATACATTTATTTTATTAATTAGTTAATAATTTGGTATTTTGTATACGTGATTCAAATAAATTCAATTTATTCAAAATGCAAAAGCCTTTGACACAAAGCCAAATCACTGGCTAAAAGTATGATTTTTGTGCAGTATAGTGTCACAAAACTAGCGATATGAAGAACATTCTTTCCTAGATTCAAATTTTGTAAATACATCGACCAATATAGTCAGAAAGTCGATATTCCGTTTTTATTGTTTTTTACTTAATTTGCGTGTTGCATTGTACTTTGACATAATATTTTAAATCAAGTTAATTCAGCAAGTCAAGTTATATCTTTATGCCCTATAAAAATATTTATACTGAATATTATCTTTTAGAATGTAGGAGTATAAAGATGATATTACTAAATTAAAATAATCCACAAAACTAATTCAGAAAATCCTAGAAGAGGAGACATTTGGATACAGCTATATTTAAACACAAGTTATCAGTGGAACATATTATTTCTTGAAAAAATTTTATTTTGTAACAAAAAAAAAATCAAAAGTGATGTAAATTATAATTTTTTCCTTAATAATTTTCAGCAATCAAACAGCAATTAGAAAGTAAGTAAATATATATATTTTATCACTTGTATAGTTTTAAAATCGCACTTACTAAACCTTTATTATCTGGTACTTGTAAACTATTCGTAAAAACAAACGTTTTCGGCTTCAGTCGAGGCCTGCTTCAGGTTAAAATACTTGGATTCCATTTTTAGAATGAACGTTTAGTTTCAAAATATAATCAAATTCATGCACGTGTTACGTATCGTAATCATTTTGTTGTTCTTCGCATATGTAACGCCAAGCATAAGAAAGCGTGTTGCTGTCTTTGGTGTTTATACATCTCCCCATCCTGCCGGCTTTGTAGATTTCCAGGGCTTCAAGGGCTCTGATGTGGTCCGTATTAAAAGCTCTATTTATTAATCTGGCTTTTGATAGTTCTGCGTGAATATCCGGGTCGGTTGCGTAGGTGGATAGTGCAGTGGTGTAACGAGCATGTTCTATGTCATATTTGTGCTCCTTAATTCTCTGTTGGATTGAACGCTTCGTGGAGCCGATGTATACCATTTCTTGTTTAAATCGATCATCTTTTACAGGAATACTATATACCCCCGGAGCTCTAAGATCGTTCTGTTTGTCTTTTGCATTACATGGTAATTGATATATATTGGGGGTTCTTTGGTACACTACCCTGGTGTTCGTTTTAGTTGCAATTTCTCTATATAATGCTTGAAATTGTTTGCTGTATTCAACGATGTTGAGTCTTCTGTTTGAATCTTGATTAGCATTTTGAGTAATGGGTGCCTCTTGTGTTTCATGTGTTCGTAAATAGGCATTTGCCAGTCCTCGTATTAGTTCTCCACGAAGCGTTCAATCAAACAGAGAATTAAGGAGCACAAATATGACATAGAACATGCTCGTTACACCACTGCACTATCCACCTAAACAACCGACCCGGATATTCACGCAGAACTATCAAAAGCCAAATTAATAAATAGAGCTTTTAATACGGACCACATCAGAGCCCTTGAAGCCCTGGAAATCTGCAAAGCTGGCAGGATGGGGAGATGTATAAACACCAAAGACAGCAGCACGCTTTCTTATGCTTGGCGTTTCGTATGCGAAGAACAACAAAATGATTACGATACGTAACACGTGCATGAATTTGATTATATTTTAAAATTAAACGTTCATTCTAAAAATGGAATCCAAGTATTTTAACCTGAAGCAGGCCTCAACTGAAGCCGAAAACGTTTGTTTTTACGAATAGTTTACAAGTACCGGATAATAAAGGTTTAGTAAGTGTGATTTTATTAGAATACCGGTATTCAGAGTAGAAGATTTTTGATAGTTTTAAAGATTACAGAAATTATATGAAGGGTTGTGGGGGAGAAAAAAACAAGTTCATTAAAATTAAATAAATTTAGAAGTATGTATGTAGGCAGAAAATAACTATGGCTAAGAGGACCAAGTGATAGGTGTAAAATGCTGATCTCACATGTTTGGGTTGATCCAATGTTCTTGGGCTCAATAAGACAAGGACAATAAGACAATAACTTTAATGTACAGAGTTGGATTGATAGTTTGTAACATATACAAGAATCATAAAATAGTCAATCTTACATCAATGTTCAAGTTTTATAATTTCCAGCATTCTTTGGTAATTTCTTCTCACTCACTGTTCACAATCCTACAGTCTCTTAAGTTCCACGTAGTCTTGCCAGGTCCATAACACTTTCATCTCTTCTTCATACGTGCTTTCCTTTGTCCTTGTATCTCTGGGGTTCTTCTTTTTGGACATTACTCATCTTTCCATTTAGACCGGACAGGGAATGTCACCAATACTAAGATGGTAAGCCACAGGGTGATTCAAAAGCTTGATCTCAAACATCAGGAACATGCAGGAGCTGAAATAGAGCAACTTTCAAATAGGAATCTATGTTCTCTGACACAATTCTGAGTCAGTAGAAGTCACAGAAAGTAAGAAACTATACTGCAGATAGCATGACATCATAAAATATAGCAATGAACAAATGCTTAATAACAAAATAAAGAGTACATGAATGTAAATGTAATACATTCATGTAATCATTATTTTGTTGCTGCTTTATTTTACTGTTACAAAAGTTGTTTGGATTGGTGATCCCCACACACAATGCAAGCATTGTGTGAAAGTGTGTGTGTGTAAAACATGTGATAAGACAACAAAAAGAATCAAATCGTTTTATTAGTTGAATGAGTTGATAAAGAACAGAATGCCCATCACGGAGACACTTATATACAGATATAATTACGTCTCCCCTCTCATTTGATCTTCCCGCAAGAAATTTAACATATACATACAATCCCGATTAATACTAAGAAACCTATAATTAAACTTAAACCTAATACTATAACTACAAGAAAGAAGGAAGGAAGGTTACTTAGGAAATCTATTGGTAGCTAGATCTATGGGACCTGAACTGGGTGAATATCAATGGTTTTCACTTTGTGCACGGTGAATGTACGATTCATTTGCATCCAAAGGGGGCCAAAGCAGTTACAGTCGACCCCCCTATAAGATAGAGATACGTTCCATTCTCTAGGAATCCGATTTCTTACGAATCCTTCCAATCACAACCCGACACGTGTCAAGTTTACGGACTACGGCTGTTTGAAAGATTTTCTTCCATAAAATTAATCGATTCTAGACTAATCCGACTCAACATTTCCAAAATACGTATATATTTTTTGGGAATAATCCGTATAAACTACGCTATAAACAAAAAATTGTAGGATTACTTACCGAGTGTCACCATTCGACATTGCCATTGCTCAACATTGTTTTCGTCGCGGAACAGCTCAGCAAAGAGCGGCCGATTTCTAACAACTTATTTTTCTGTGAAAACTTCGTAGAACTTCGGAGACATCATTAATATAAATAATTTTAATCGCCGTTGAATAAGAAATGTTTCTTTCACAAGAAATGTATAAAATTACAGTACTGTATTAGACTTACGGTACCTAATTTACATACTGACAGACGATAGTTAGCGTAAAAATCTCCGTAGCGTGGCGCCACGCTAGACGGCGGAAATTATATATTTAATTATAACAAAGTTACAATAAGTTAATATATAATTATATATACAGTACCTAATTTATATATAATTAATATATAATTATATGTACAGTACCTAATTTATATATAATTTATATAATACTGTCCAGACGATAGAAATCTCTCCGTAGCGTGGCGCTACGGACGGCGGGAAAGTAGTTCGGCTGCCCGATGACGTTTGAGGTGTTTATAGGGAACTTTTACTATTTTTTACGGAGACCGGTAGCAATTTTTTCGTAGTTTTATAGGAATCGTAATTATAGGGACCGTAATTATAGGGGGGTCGACTGTATTATTGAACAAGTGCTGAGGTGGTTCCTTGGAACTCTCTGGAATGGCTATCCCAATTATTTCTTGTCTTCGTTCCTACCTTGTCTATCTTGGCCCTTTCTCTCTTTTGCCTTCTGCCTTATACACAGTCTTCTGATCACACTCGCGTGACCCTTCTCTCTTGTGGCAAACCCAAAAGTGTCCTTTCTCCTCACCTCTCTCTAATAGTCCCCTCGGGCAGGACTCCCGTCTTGTCCCTTTTGTAGATTGGTCAATCAGGACCCACAAATATATCAATTCCTGTCATGTGACAAAAAAGGGTTAAAAGTGAAAGGAAAAAAATTATAGGAAAGAAGAAAGGAGTTCTTATTCTATATACAGTATAATTATACAACAAAATGGTGGACATCCACAATTGCATCTTTGAAGGAAATTGCTCCATCCTTTCAAATATCCCAGGCATCTCCCAGACCTCATCTGCTGCTCAATAATTCTACCTAACCCGTATGGCCTCTGTATCAAACTGGACCAGATAAGCAATTCAACTGCAAACTTCCTGGACATCAATCTTCAATTAGATGGCAACCAGATAGCAACTAAGGTCCATTACAAGTCATGCTACTCCCCATTATTCATCCCGGCCATTTCAGCGGACCCCTTCTCATACAAGATGGCTGCCTTCCGAGTCTTAACCGAAAGAGCATTCATGCACCATTCCAGGTTTGAAGACACCTTGTCTGAATTACAGCACATCCAGAACATAGCCACCCAACACGGGTATGGTCCAAAATTAATTTATAGCATGGTGTATGCCTACTCTTCACAAGTAATTCCAGTGACAACTCTGATATGTGCACTCACAACTCAAATAACACTCAGTCTCTAGCTGTGGTTGAATATAACCACCACCTCAAATTTACTTATAGAGAAATTGCAACATATACAAACAAAAAGATTGCATACAAGATGCCTAGTAGTATATATGACCTCTTGCGCAATAGCAAGGACAAAATGGACAATAGATTGGCTCCAGGGGTATACTCTATTCCATTATGGGATGACAGGTTTCAAAGAGAGCTTGTGTATATTGGTTCCATGAAATGCTCCCTTGACAAGCGTCTTCATGAACACAAGTATGACATCGATCATAACAAAGACACCCCCACCATATCCTCTTATGCCTAGACCCCAGGAATAAGAGCAGACCTTCACAATTCCAAAATGATCAGACCATATAGAACACATCCATCGCACCACATAGAACACATCCGATCACTAGAAACTCTTGAGATATACAAAGCTGGAGTACGTAATAACTGCATCAATTTCAAAGATGCTATTAATATATCTCAAGCTTGGAAGTTCTGTTATGAGGGAGACCACAACCCCCCATACCTCTATTTAATGTACACATACTTCTGTTAGTTTATCTTATCTTAATGTATTTTATTTTCTTTTATTTCATTTGTGTATATAATACTTATAATAATTCGTTTGTGCTACAAATGCTGCATATGTTAGCATCATGTATGCATCCATGGCAACACAGGCGCACAACGTTCTAATGTTTTAAATCATTGCACAGAACTGTTCTTCGAATCTCAGCATTTGTAAAACCTGATGAAGACCGAGTATTAAGGTCAAAAACGTTTGTTATTTCAATTAAATAGTTTTACTGGATATTCAAACGTTTTTGTGAGTCATTGATAAAAAATTCTATTATACAAATAATTTTATTCTTTAAATACCTATATAGATACAATATGTGCATCCTATATAACATAGGAGTGCAAAAGATTTGCATATTTAATGAAAATCAGTATTAAGAAATACAGTAATTGTTTGCAAAGATTCAGAATGAGATGTTGTACTTAATTTTACTGAAAACACTTCTATAATCTATTTATAGACAAAAATGACTCATTCTAAAGACAAGATGTTTTGCCTTTATTTTTCTTCTTCTTTTACCTCTACTTTACAATGTCAATGGAAGGGTAGAAAATGATGGATGTTTCTGATATCTTTTTCAGCTTTTATCAAAATTTCCAAGAATAGAAAGACTAGGGATTAATGCTGTATGGAAGTGGATGTATTGCTCTTTTTAGAAAATCTCTTTAGACTTAAATAAAGAGAACTTGGATATTGTAAACAAACATCTATGGAAGAATATTTAATGCTTGTTAAGTTTAAGGCTAAATATAGTAGAATGTTGTTCTTTACTCTACATGTTATTTCTATAACCATATTATTATGAGTGCTATTCAATGAACAGCTTAATATAACACCTTTATTTTAACAATAATATTTTGTCTGGAATTTCATAATGGATATATCAATATGAGAAAAGCTATTCTTTTTATCACTATATCAGTGTATTTCTATTAATAGGACTTATCATACTGGGGTACAAGATTGCAGACTCACAGTTACACAGATTAAAATTGTTTTATTTTCAATTACCTGTAATTGAATTCAATTAATGAGAAAAGCTATCCTGACAAATCAATCATTGAATAATAAATAGTCAATCTCCTACTACAGCAAAGTAAAAATAAATCATGGAATAATCCATATTTCATTACAAATTAATTATCTAATAAAATTAACTATTAATTAAAATACATAATCATTAATATCTTGTTCAATTTTACTTGAGAAAAATATCACATTTTTTTAATAAAAATAATGACTTACAAAAATTTTTAATTAGAGAACGTTATAGATAAAATATTTGTAGTTTATTTATAATATTAAGAATGTTGTTATATTTTGAAATATATATGTTACATAAGATTGTTTACAATGACCAAGCATCTTTGAATTTCCAATTTCTTTGACTTGGTTATCTAAAGATGTAAAATAACTTTTTATTTTTAAATAAATTATTTTTAGAATACAGTTATTTTGTAATTTTAAAATATTTCATATTCTAAAATTCTAATAGTAGTCATTTCATTCTTTTCTAATACAAGTTTTTAGTATATTAAAGCTATACAGGTATACCTCGAGTTATGTCGTTTCAAGTTACGTCGTTCTTGATTATACGTCGTTTGTCAAAAATACATGGAAAAATAAAAATCAAGTTTAAGTCATTTTATTCGACTTTACATCCATCCGCCACAAATATTGAAGTCGTAATATCACTAGAAAAGCGTTAAAGCACATGAAATCATATTAAAATATGTACATATACAGTAAATGTTAATGTAATTATCATAAATCCTAGAGAACGAAACATAAAAACATCTGTGTTTCTGTGTTGTCGTCTTATTTAGCAGTCTTTAAATGCTCAATATTGGTGTTTTTAGTGACGAGTAAATTCAGAGACAAGTAAAGACTTACGTCGTTTTTCGACTTAAGTTGCCTCTCCTGGAACCAATTACCAACGTAAGGCGAGGTATACCTGTACTATGGAAAATTGTAGGTTATATTTGAAATGTGTGAATTATCTTAATTTGAATATTAACCTCATTATTATTTACAAAAATATACGTATAATTTTTGAAACAAGCTTTATTACATATGATATGCTATTCTGAATGATTTTAAAGAAATTTAATAACATATATATTAATGAACATTTATAATTTCTAATAAATTTAAACAGAAGTTAAGTTGGAATTAGAAACCTCAAAGAAAAAAGCTACTGAATTATCTGAAAAATTAACAGAAAAAAGTAGACAATATCAAAAATTACAACTAATGTATGAAGGACTACGAAGAAAATTTATTTCTCCATTCTTTATGGAAAAAGAAGTAAAGCAGAAAAATGTTCCCATAAGAAATGACACACCTTTTGGAATATCAGCAGCAAATGGCAAGAAATTTAATTAGTTTTATATATTAAAAAAAACTATATTTAATTAATTAATTAGTTAAAATTTTATTATAAAATCATATATACAGTGGGTGATCGGTTAACAAACAGATCGGATAACAAACAAATTGGATAAACACTTTCACAAAAGATTTTTATGTTTGGACAACGAACACATGATTGGATAATGAACACCCCACAGAACAAACACAAGAAGAAGCGATGTAAAATAATGAATACAGATTGGTCTTCCCTTGTCTTCAGGCAACAATTCGAAACCTTTCAGAGTGTGGGAGACGTCAACATCGATGCTCAAGCCGGTATATACCGATTGGATAGTATTCCTCCAAACTTTGAAACTCTCCCTTGTAATTCCAGCCTTTTATTTTTCTGACAAAACAATTCTTTTATGTATTTGTGAGACTGTCGGGTAGGCACTCGTTAAGTTTTGCATCTGTTTTTCTTTTCAAAATGTCAGAGTATAATAGCAAAGGTAGAGAGTGGGCAGAAGATGCCTATTGTTTCTGGGCAGTATGGCACAAACAGCTCTATGGTAGGCCGTAGTTAAATCTTATCTAAGAAAGATACTGTATTATCAAGAAGACTAAAGCAGCTCAAGGAGTAACAAAAATCACATCTGAGATATAAAGAACATCGAAGAGTTCATAATGGAATCCGAAACGGATCTGACGACAGAAGAACGCCAAGAACTCTTGAATGAAGAACACCAAGAAACTCAGTGAGATATGTTTTTTTCTGAAAAAGAGGATTAATGCCAATATCTGTTATTAAAGATCCTTCGAAGAAGTGGGAGACTGTCAGAACAACGGTCTTAAAATGGCATCCAAACCAGGTTGAGGCTTGGGGATTTCTACAATTGCAATGCTATTAATTACTTATGAAAAATCCTGAAGAAGAGAGAAAATCAATTGACAGTAGACAGATTCTTTAACCCTTTCAAATGGAAAAAACATGACTAATAAAAATGCAAGACTGTGTATGTATGTATTTTTATTATTACATATAAATAGATGTAGTAAGAAAGTATATATTTTTTATTTTTGGGGTCTCCAGAACGAATTAATTAAGTTCCCATTAAAATCTATGGTAAATCAATAATCAGTTAATGAACAGTTCAGATAGCAAACAAAGTCTTGGAACGGATTATGTTCGTTAACCAATCACCTTACTGTACTAATTTCTTATTAAGTTTAAAAACTTTTAAAAATTTTAACATATATTATTGAAATTTTTCATTGCTTTTTATAAAATACAGTTTAAATCAGTGTTTCTCAACGGGGATGATATTGCCCCATGTAGGCATTTTTCCATGTTCAGGGGGCGATTAGTAACAATTNCAAGAAACTCAGTGGGATATGTTTTTTTCTGAAAAAGAGGATTAATGCCAATATCTGTTATTAAAGATCCTTCGAAGAAGTGGGAGACTGTCAGAACAACGGTCTTAAAATGGCATCCAAACCAGGTTGAGGCTTGGGGATTTCTACAATTGCAATGCTATTAATTACTTATGAAAAATCCTGAAGAAGAGAGAAAATCAATTGACAGTAGACAGATTCTTTAACCCTTTCAAATGGAAAAAACATGACTAATAAAAATGCAAGACTGTGTATGTATGTATTTTTATTATTACATATAAATAGATGTAGTAAGAAAGTATATATTTTTTATTTTTGGGGTCTCCAGAACGAATTAATTAAGTTCCCATTAAAATCTATGGTAAATCAATAATCAGTTAATGAACAGTTCAGATAGCAAACAAAGTCTTGGAACGGATTATGTTCGTTAACCAATCACCTTACTGTACTAATTTCTTATTAAGTTTAAAAACTTTTAAAAATTTTAACATATATTATTGAAATTTTTCATTGCTTTTTATAAAATACAGTTTAAATCAGTGTTTCTCAACGGGGATGATATTGCCCCATGTAGGCATTTTTCCATGTTCAGGGGGCGATTAGTAACAATTTATATTTTGGGGGCAAAAAACAATTTTCTGGTTGATATAGTAAAACATATTAAGAATAATTAGATATTTTATTTGTTATATCATACAATAATTAAACAAATAACATTATACTAGTCACTAGTCTATTCAATGCAGTACGAATTTGGCATTAGCCTTGTCCCTCGGCATTGGAATTTTGTAGTGAAGGGGGCGATACTACGTTGAAGGGGGCGACGATTCATTAGAGGTTGAGAAACAGTGGTTTAAATTAAAGAAATAATTTATAAATGACAATTTAAAAATAGATTGACTTTAAAGAATAAATCATAGGAAAAATTTTACTTATTTTTTCTAGAATTTTCTATTCTTTTTGTTTATAATTTGTATTGATTAAATATTTCTGACTTCTAAATCTGATTTATCTGTAATTGAACAAAACAGATTTGTAATTAATTTATTTTGAAATACTGTATTAATATTGTCTTTGCATATTCAACTGCGTATTTGCATATTGTCTTATACCTAACTTTCTTTATAATTATATAACATTTTAATAAATAAGATTTAAATTGTTCACTTTTGAAACGAATACCATTATTAATTAATTAATTATTGTCCAGAAGTTGGAATTATTCTCATAAATTTGATAACAGCAGAAAAATCAAAAATGTTGACAATGACAACAAGACAATATATTACTATTTTCTATAAAAAAAAAAGATTTTTAGAATACTTCATTTGTATATATTTGTATTTTGCTTCATACATTTTTGGAAATGATGATTAAGAAGTTTGTTTAATTTAAAATACATGTATAAAACATCTACTTCCTTAGAAAACAAAATTAAAAATAAGACTTGTTTTATTGGAGAACATTTTATGAAATTACAAAAGTTGTACTCTCCGAAATTATCTGATTTGTTTATTATTATGTTTTTTTAATTTTAAGATGAAAAATTGGAATACTGATTTAAAATTTTAAAAAATAAATCAGTTTTAGAAATAATTAATTTATTAATTTTAAAATTATATTTAATTCAAATAATGAAATTTAAAATAAACTCATAAAACTAAAATTTAAAATGTTGATTGCATTAGCATTTCTTTTAGAATTAATTAATCATAAATTAAAATTTATGTTAAATAATGGAAAACTACTATATGTTTAATCATTATCAATTGATTATAAAAATTTTGAATTTCATACTAATTTCAATTAAAACTAATAAATATAAATATTTGATTACAGATATACTGCAATGTGCTCAGAAGGCAGAAAGTAAGTATTAAATATTTAATGTGATATCGAATATATAATAATATATATCATTTATATTTGTCATGTTTTTGTGTTTTGTTTGATCAGTGTGTGTTGGGGCCTATGTAAACCATTGAAAAGCAGTTTTAAATGTGTATAGTCAAAAATGTTTTGTATAATAATATTTCATCACATCAATGCACTGTATGTCCAATGTAAGGAAGCCTGATCCCCCAAATACTTTTATTTATTTTATTTTAAACATCAGATGGAAGAATAGTAAAAGCTTTTATGCAACTTCCTCTGAACAAATATGAAAACAGATAATAAAATGAGGACACAGATTATCTGTATAAAATGCTTACTTTCAAGTAGCCAACTGTTTAAATTTTTCATGAAGGAACATTTTCATCCTGTTAAACAGTCCTTCGTGAAAAATTTAAACAGTTGGCTACTTGAAAGTAAGCATTTTATACAGATAATAATATGGAGGCAGAAACACATGAGATAACATTTGATACACAGATCAATTAAATAACAATTGTAACAATTCAGAGTTAATGGGATTTTTTTTCCAAATTGTTTTTCCTGTTTAAATGTTTCTGCTTGACAGTTCTTTTAACTTTTAGAATTTACATTATACTATTGTAATTGTTCATGCCACAATGTATAAAACCATAGAATATACAGTGTGTTTCAGAAGTGTTTAGCCAAATTTTACAGCATTATAGAGGAGGAAAAATCAAATAAAAAAGTCAATGGCCATTTTTTTTACTTTAAAATTAATGAATGTGATATTAAGCACCAATGTGTAGTGACATTACAGTATTTTCATTTTTTACTTTCCTGGCTGTTATATATAACGTAGGGAAAGTATGGTGATCAGTCAAAAAATGACCCCCCTTCCCAGATTTTTATATTTTTGGATTCAGGATCTTGAAACATTGAGAAATGCGAAAAAAAATTAGAATATTTTTTTCCCCTGTATGTATGGATGTTAGTGTTGTTTGTGTGTGTGTATGGGGGGTATGATTTTGTTCACCCTCTTTGAAGCTTAATAACTCCTGTATCTTTTGTTGAAATTTGTGAAATTTTGCAAGAAGGTTTTTGCATTAGGGGATTGATACTATTAAATTTTGATGGTTAAAAGTTGAGGGAGTGGAGAGATAGAGGGGGTCAAGTAGGTTGATTTTAATGATGATTTTACTTCTTCTTAGTGCATTTACAATTTTTTATAAATCCCATCCCGACCCTCAAAATTAAGCTTTTTGCCATTTTATAATTAATAATATAAAAATTTTAAAAATAAAACATCATAACAGATTGCATCACATACAACGTAAATTCTTTGCTGGATTTTTTAAGTCTGATTATGCAATGTATCAGTAATTAAATTTGTTTACTAATCATAAATTTTTTTATTAAACAGCTCATTTTTAATTAATTCCTTTTAACTTAATTAATTAAATCGAGTGTATTAATTTAATTAATTAATCAAACTGTTTATCAACATCTTTGAGAAATGGAAACACTTACAATAGTCACTATTGATAGAGGGAGAGCAAGAACTGCATGAACATCATACATAGAGAAGCAAGTTAGTACTAGAATTGTTGAAGATTCTAGTACTGTACAAGATAAACAGCTAGAACAGCATTTCTCAACCTTTTGTTCATACAACCCAATATATTTGTTTGTAATGGTTCTGCAACCCAAATGTTTATAATATAAAATTTTTAAAAACCTGGTAAACTCGAGTCACTGTATATTATGTAACAAAATGAAATTATATGTTATTGCTAATAACATCTATGTATGAAATATAACATTCAATACATTTCTATTAAGAGTAGTTCAGACCAATTTTGATTTTTAACATTTTTTTTAATAGTTAAATTTCAATAATAAAAGATATAATACTGACGATTGTAAATAAAACAGACTATTTCAATATTACTCAGGAGTCTATTTTACTTTTAAAAATATTACAAGTTTATTAAGTTTATAAAAAAATAAACTTAATGAAACCTTTTTATTTAAAACATACTTTTCAGATTGTAAGAGGATTTTGTAAATATACAAAAAAATTTTTTTAATTATTTTATGATCCACTTGTGCCAAAATTCATCCATTATTTATTTTTTATAATTTATTGTTATGTAAGACAATAAACCTAAAAACTTAAATAAACAAAGATATATTTTCAAAAACCATTGCAACTTAAGTGGCTTTATGACTACAACCTTACATAAAATATCTTTTTTGATGTTATTCAAAATAGAAAAGAAATCCATTTCATATACACACATTCTATAATCTTAATTTTATTTGTAAATGACAATGATAAGTATAAGAAAAAAGTTGTTAAAAATTTTTCAGTCCTTAACAGATGCATCTATTGTTCCTAGTTTTTAAAGAATATTTCAGTAATACAAGTATTACAAATTTTTCTGCAGAAGGTAATATCATTTTGCAATCCATTAAAATTTTAATATAATCCATAGTTTGAGAAATGCTGAGCTAGAACAATAGGTATGACACATTCAAGTGTATGGTTGAACATTTGGGCTGGAATAATTAATGATTATTTGATTGGCCCGTTTTTTTCTGCCTTCAACACTCACAGGTCAAAATTACAGACATTTCTTGGATGAAGAACTAGGAATTTTGTTAGAGGGTATTCTTCTGCATGTTTAACATCAAATGTTCTTCATGCTTGAGTGTTCCAGCATATTTTAGTCTTCATACATGAGAATACCTTGATAATGAATATTGAAATAGATGGATTGGAAGAGGAGTACCAATAACTTGGTCTTTATGCTCTCCCAATTTGAATCCTCTAGATTTTTCTTATGGGACACTATGATTTATATTGTTCCATTTACCAATACACAAGTTATAAGATATCAGGTTAAGAAAAGTTGCAAAACAATTTGAAATACTCTTGGAATATTTGAATATTCCAAGAGTTCAACTATTAATGGTAAGATGCTGGCAAGTGTGTGCAGATATTCATGGAGGCAGTTTGATCATTTGGTATGATGTTCAAATGCTTGGATTTAATAAATCAGTTTTTTGATTTTATAATTCTTCTTCATATCTAAAAAGCAGGGATTAATTAAAAAATGAGCTGTTTAATAAAGAAATTGTGAATACAGGTATACCTCGCCTTATGTCGGTAATTGGTTCCAGGAGAACGACTTAAGTCGAAAAACGACGTAAGTCGAATTTACTCGTCTCCAAATCTACTTGTCACTAGGCTAAACCATAAATTGCCAATTCCGGTTCTGTATTTTATTTATTAAAACATTTTTAATAATGTATGGTTAATAAGGATCTATTTTAAGCTTACAAACAAATAAATTTTAGTTTTTAATATAGTACAGAAAAAAGTAATCTAAATTTACGAATGCATGTACTGTAAATACAGTACATACTTGTAAATGTATATATTTTAATATGATTTTATGTGCTTTAAACATTTTTCTAGTGATATTACGACTTCAATATTTGTGGCGGACAGACGTAGAGTCGAATAAAATGACTTAAACTTGATTTTTATTTTTCCATCTACTTTTTTGACAAACGACGTATAATCGGGAACGACGTAACTCAAAACGATGTAAGTCGAGGTATACCTGTATTAAATGAATTTAAATATTGACATGTAGTTAGACTTAGCACAGAAATGACATCACTACACATTGACACTTAATAACTAATTAAACTTGAAGTCAGAAAAAAACCTTTGATTTCTTTTATTCAGATTTTTCTCCTCTATTAGCCTGTGGAATTTGGCCAAACATTTCTGAAACACCAAGTTTATTTTATATGTTATTTTGTAACTATATTATATGTGTGTATTAAGTTTTTTAATAATGAATTAAATTAAATAATAATCATTGTGCAATTACATATTTGTGTGCTGTGTCACATTNCACTTGTGCCAAAATTCATCCATTATTTATTTTTTATAATTTATTGTTATGTAAGACAATAAACCTAAAAACTTAAATAAACAAAGATATATTTTCAAAAACCATTGCAACTTAAGTGGCTTTATGACTACAACCTTACATAAAATATCTTTTTTGATGTTATTCAAAATAGAAAAGAAATCCATTTCATATACACACATTCTATAATCTTAATTTTATTTGTAAATGACAATGATAAGTATAAGAAAAAAGTTGTTAAAAATTTTTCAGTCCTTAACAGATGCATCTATTGTTCCTAGTTTTTAAAGAATATTTCAGTAATACAAGTATTACAAATTTTTCTGCAGAAGGTAATATCATTTTGCAATCCATTAAAATTTTAATATAATCCATAGTTTGAGAAATGCTGAGCTAGAACAATAGGTATGACACATTCAAGTGTATGGTTGAACATTTGGGCTGGAATAATTAATGATTATTTGATTGGCCCGTTTTTTTCTGCCTTCAACACTCACAGGTCAAAATTACAGACATTTCTTGGATGAAGAACTAGGAATTTTGTTAGAGGGTATTCTTCTGCATGTTTAACATCAAATGTTCTTCATGCTTGAGTGTTCCAGCATATTTTAGTCTTCATACATGAGAATACCTTGATAATGAATATTGAAATAGATGGATTGGAAGAGGAGTACCAATAACTTGGTCTTTATGCTCTCCCAATTTGAATCCTCTAGATTTTTCTTATGGGACACTATGATTTATATTGTTCCATTTACCAATACACAAGTTATAAGATATCAGGTTAAGAAAAGTTGCAAAACAATTTGAAATACTCTTGGAATATTTGAATATTCCAAGAGTTCAACTATTAATGGTAAGATGCTGGCAAGTGTGTGCAGATATTCATGGAGGCAGTTTGATCATTTGGTATGATGTTCAAATGCTTGGATTTAATAAATCAGTTTTTTGATTTTATAATTCTTCTTCATATCTAAAAAGCAGGGATTAATTAAAAAATGAGCTGTTTAATAAAGAAATTGTGAATACAGGTATACCTCGCCTTATGTCGGTAATTGGTTCCAGGAGAACGACTTAAGTCGAAAAACGACGTAAGTCGAATTTACTCGTCTCCAAATCTACTTGTCACTAGGCTAAACCATAAATTGCCAATTCCGGTTCTGTATTTTATTTATTAATGCATTTTTAATAATGTATGGTTAATAAGGATCTATTTTAAGCTTACAAACAAATAAATTTTAGTTTTTAATATAGTACAGAAAAAAGTAATCTAAATTTACGAATGCATGTACTGTAAATACAGTACATACTTGTAAATGTATATATTTTAATATGATTTTATGTGCTTTAAACATTTTTCTAGTGATATTACGACTTCAATATTTGTGGCGGACAGACGTAGAGTCGAATAAAATGACTTAAACTTGATTTTTATTTTTCCATCTACTTTTTTGACAAACGACGTATAATCGGGAACGACGTAACTCAAAACGATGTAAGTCGAGGTATACCTGTATTAAATGAATTTAAATATTGACATGTAGTTAGACTTAGCACAGAAATGACATCACTACACATTGACACTTAATAACTAATTAAACTTGAAGTCAGAAAAAAACCTTTGATTTCTTTTATTCAGATTTTTCTCCTCTATTAGCCTGTGGAATTTGGCCAAACATTTCTGAAACACCAAGTTTATTTTATATGTTATTTTGTAACTATATTATATGTGTGTATTAAGTTTTTTAATAATGAATTAAATTAAATAATAATCATTGTGCAATTACATATTTGTGTGCTGTGTCACATTGTAAGCCAAGAAAAATTTGAAAATTCAATAAGAAAGATAAAAATTTTTTTAGATTTTTATTAACAGTATCTCTCACTAATAACATAGAAAATACCCTTTTGGACAAAATTATCTTTTGTTTCTTTACACATGAAAAATAAAACAGCACGACCCAAACCTAAAATGAAAACACTTGAAACATGTGGAAAAAAATTTAAAAGAAAACCTATTGTAAATGTGTTTCTATTGTCTATACCTAAATATAAATTTATTAGGGCACAAAGGTTAGATAGCCAGGTTAATATAAATGTTAAGAAAATGAAGATAAATTGAGGAAAGAATGATTTGCAGTATTTCTACTTTCTTTTCTTTTTCTTTAAGGGTTTCTATTTCTAAAAGGATATACTCAGGTTTTTCTTACTTTTTCCATGGTACACCTAGTCTTCTTGAATATGTCAGTTGGCTTCACTGGTCTGGATTGGAAAAAAACTTTTTGTTTCTTTTAGGCAAAACTAATACTCTAGTATGAAACTTGGGGAGCTATCAACCCAGGTAATACTTTATCAATGAAATTCCATTAAGTCCATTTACGATGGGAATGGATTCTTAGTTCTCCATCATAAGCACACACAATATGACCCATTCTTCCTCAATGCCATCCAATGACACCCTTCTTTTTGGAAGTATTGACAGGCCAACCAATACTAGGTAAAGCTAGATGTACAAAAGACCAGAAGTAATCCAATTTGAAAGGGGAGAGTCTAGAGAGAAAGAAAAATGACTTGATCAAGCCACATCATTGTCAGTTCTTGATGAATGTTGCCAATTTGTCATCCCTTCTGCTCAACATTGTTTCTGCTATTAGTTTCCTGATACTGTGATCCTGTACACTCATGACTTTATATTTATAACACACTTTCAAGAGATAATAAGGTATATTGAAACTCAGAACAATTTTTTTAAGAGGCTAGACTATGTGACCAGATTCAAATCCCCTTCCTTATTCTAGTGGTTTCTGGTAACCATTGACTTACCTTCTATCCGCTTTCAACTGGACTATGTGGTTTCTAAATGTTCTCTGGCTTAAAAACCTTGTCTAGACCTACGAGATTGCTTCATAAATCTCTATATTTAGGGGATTACATAATTTAATGTATATGGGAAAGAAGGAGGAGAATGTGGTGGTATTGCTACCTGGCATCATTTTCCTTATGTTCCCATCTGGCAATACTCCATATCTGCTTTCTAGCAATATGGAGTATTGCCTCACTTTAGTTAGAGAGCACCTGTATTTTGTCTGGAATAAGACTTTGTTGTTTAAGATAAAATCAGCTCTGTTTTTCATGGCAACCCTTTAGAAATATTTATGTAAAAAACAGACTATCAGAAGAAAAATAGTTCAATGCAATATTTATGAAATTTTTGTAAATAGCAATAGCAAAATTTATTTGTTAGTATTAAGTAAAATGTGCTGAAATATATGTGTTATTAATATCATTTAAATTACCTATAATTTATTTCTAGAAGATTTTGTTTTACATCCTGCAAGAACACCAATTGCTGATTTTCTTAACGAAAAGAAAACCCCAATACAATCTCGACTAATAGAATTTGGAGTTCAAACAAGTGTAAATAGAAATCTATTTTACAGACAGAGTATGAAAAACAATAATTAATTAATATATCAAATTACTTTATAGAAATATAAAAAAATTAAAGATTATTTAAATTCACAAAATAATAGTCACTATTGATGATTATTATTTAGAAAATATTTTAATTTAAACATTAAACAGTTATTTTTTAGTTTTTTTCAAATGTTTTAAAATAACAACATTAATAAATATCTTAAAAATTAATCAAAATATTCTCATTATTTGTGTAATATTATTTACAACTTGCATATTTATTAAATTGGTTTCAGTAATTAATAATAACCTGAAATAATAATAAAAAAATTATAACATTGTAAGCAATTGTTTTAAAAAATAACTATTTAGTATTAATTTTATTAAAATTTTATTTTTGTAGAAGATTCAGTTAATTACTTTCAATAAAAACTTGTTGAATATTAAAAGTGTCAAATGTCTAGAGTATCAAATACATTCAATCATTATTTACATCTTTTATATTGATATTTTGTACGATCCTAACCTATAATTTAAATGCTATTATTAATTATTCAATTTGTATTTGTTGTGTTTTTTTATTTACCTATACAGTATAATATACTACAGACAACTACACACAATAATATACAGCAGTGGCATACCCAGAGGGGGCTGATGGGACCTGGCACTCTCCAAAGAAAAAAGAAAGAAACATTAAAAAGTTTTCCAAAAATATTCTCCTAATTAATATTTATTTTTTAAATTTATATTATATTGTGTTTTATATGTCTATACTACTAATGAATTAGTGACCATATAAGATGGGAATTTTATTAAGTTTGCATTAAAAAGTTTTTTATCCATTTAACTGGGCTCACAGAGATTAAATCCTGAGTGTGCCACTAATATATGCAGTTAAATTTATGAGAATGATTGATATTTATTTTTATGGTTTTTGGTTTGACATAATTTAGATAAAATTTCATCTTTTTAATTGTTTTGTAGCATAATGAATGAGACGTTCTGCATGTAGTTTCTTGCTGTCCTGATTAATAGATCCTGAGATGAGGTCAAATGAATGGTTATGCTTACTTTGTATAAATTTATTTAAAATTTTTATTTCTTAATGGTTATAAACTTTATCAATATTTTTTCAAATTACAGTGGTAAATATCATTTTACAGTTTTATGTTATATATTAGTTAATAATTATATTTAAATATTTCTGTAATATGATTGTTAAACTTTCTAGTACTTTTTCAAATATAATGAAATTGCCCTAGTAAATAATATATTAGGACATTGGGGGGACTTAATCGTATCTTGATAGAATTCAGGCAAGCTGGAAAGAAAAGCCAATTTAAGACCAAAGCAAATGATGTGGATTGCTTTGTTTTTGTGTTTTGTTTGTTTTTGTGCCCATTTTCCATTATGTTTCTTCCCCCTCCTATATTCCATTAGGCATGCTCAATTGCATCAGAGAGCCTGGACATTGTCACTTTGATCCCACTGTATCTCCAGAATGAACTCATGGACTTCCATTTCCTATTACCTTTTTGGATTCCACATTGCAATTAATAGAAAATGGAAAAGTTTTATCAATATTGATTGATCAGATTTCAAATGAATGCAATTCTGTAAGCTATTCATTACTGTATAAGTAACAACCAGGAAACAGTCAGAACAGCAACTTGTAACCCCAAGAATTTTAAAAAAGTGTTAGAATGGTCGGTGTGATGAACCCTTACGTAAAACTAAGCTTCATAGTTATATAAATCAAATACTATAATATAACAAACATTAAAACCATATAGTTTGGTTATTTAAGCCTATCATTGTCATGTTTATCACAATACTCAGACAGTACAAAATAGCAAATTTCATTAGTCAAGTAGACAGCATTTTTTTATGGTGTTAGCTGTAACAAACTGTTTCATTCACAGCCGAATAATCTGCCAATGAATTGTTGTAATAAGCACGTGGTGAGGGTTGATTTTTCACAAAGAGACGGGTATATAAAACAAATAAGACATGCTTTATTTTTTTCTGTGAACATATACAGGAAAGGTTCTTGTTGATTCCGACCTCCTGATTCCTTACTTCAAACAAAAGAACAAACAACACCTTTTTCGATTCACAGTCGAGAAACAGAAATATATTTTTAGGAAGGAACGGGAACCCGAGTTGGTGATTGAGGTGGCGACTGCTGGATGACTTCGTCTTGGGATTTTTCCTTTTGGGGACGGATTGCATGCGAGAATCGATAAAAAACGTCCTTTATCTTTGGCTGACCAATGTCCTTATCAACGCTACTTCTTTCTTACGTGCCCTTTGTGACTCTTTCAGTCGAAGCAACACCGACCTGGAGACCTCTCTCTGATGGTCTTCCCTCTTCCAGGTCCAAAGCCAAAAGGTACTCACTTAGTCTCTCACTTGCCCTCTGGGCTATTTCTAATCCTTTGTCTCCTAATTAGGTTACCGACCACCCACACTTGGACGAAAGTTCCAGAAAGTATAGACAAAGGAACACAGAACAAAGAAAGAAGGAAAGATAGAAAATCATATATATACATATATATAAAAATATAATAAAAAATATATTGGTGTACCACCACAGAATCAAATTTTGCAATAATCAGACCAAATATTTATATTCTTGAAAACCACTTAAATCATATTTTGTGTTTGCCAGTAACCTCGTATTATGTAATTTTCTTATTCCAATGCCACCATACTGATGGGTCCATTAGGAAGAAGGGACCCTCCTCCGCAATGGAGGAGGGTCAAAGTAATTTCACCAAAAGTAGTCGTTGACCTCCTCCTGGAAGAGAGGATGGTCAACCACTACTAATTAATAGTGGTCTTCTATTAATGTTTGAACAGTTATCCATGTTAGGTTGTGACAGCCCGCATATGATTGAAGTTGCTAACCTTAACATCCTAGACAACTTGTTTAAATAAAAAAAAAATCTTATAAAAATGCAAGGATAATTGCTTTTATGTGATGATAAAATGTTTATATTTTTGCAACAGATTGTATAAACTATATGGGAAGTATGTCCTCATGACTATCGCGTTTATAGAAAAATTATTAGAATTGCTTTGGTTTATTCGGTTATGGCAACCTGACAAGTGAGCAATCTGCCAAGGAGGATGCATTCTGGGAAGACTTTTATGTGAAGCTAGTCCCTATTTACGTGTTACTAACGCGAAGAAAACCCAGAAAACTCCACATGGTCAGTCGGTTGGCCATGCGCGAACACACAACCGACTACCTGTGTTCGGCGGTTTTATCCACTCAGTTACTGGAGGGTAGTTATTGGGCTGCAATTCTAAAAAAATTGTAGGCCTATAAATTGCCATTGTCATCCGTCATCTCTGGCATGACTCTATTCCTAACTTAGTTTGTTAAATTTTTTGAGAATACTGTATATGGCGCTACATATAAATCCAGCAAATCATATGTAGACAGAAATTAATTGATGTATAAAAATCGAATCGATAATTTCGGGTGGGATGTACGACATGATCTAAGTTAGTATTATTTGAACGTAACTACCGAGTGTTGTAACAATTTGTCGAACGGTCTAGGCGTGCATAGCGAGCAAACAATCAAACATCCTCATTTATATACACACATGCGAAAGTGAATTTGGGAAAGGGTAGCTTCTCCAAATAAATAAACAGGTGTGGTGGAGTGAGGGAGAAGAGGAGGAGCGAGAAATTTAGTGTCAATGATATGTAAACACAGTCGTATACGTTGGGACCGTTCTGTAAAAACAGAATTGAGTGTTTATCTTCGAAGAAATATTTCTTAATCTCTGGATTTTAATGGAATAATTTGACACTCTCAGTCAGGATCGAATTCTCTTCGAGAGTCGAAAGTCCTGTTTAATATAGGATAATCACTCGCGAATAATTCGAATATTTAATAATTAAGCTAAAGTTTGTAATTAATATTTTATTTACAAATTTTTATTTGTATAAATTATAATCACTTTTGTCAAAGAACGATAATAAATTAATAAAACTCGAAACAATAGGAATAATACACAACAATAAAATTTGCTATCGAAACTAAGTCGATTTTCTGAAATAAAAATAAGCAAAAAATGAAATCATTTTTAATATAAAGATTTATTCTTTGTACGCGAAACATAATGAACGATGCAATGAATGCAGAAGACTTGTGGCCTTCATTAAAAAGTGCAATTTACGACATATACAGGAAGAATAATGCGTCACTGAAGTTCGAATGTTTATATCAGGATGTGTATACAATGGTTAGAAATAATCACGGAGAACGACTGTACAAAGGGATAAATGAGGTCATCGCTAGCTATTTAACGAATGAAGTACGTACACAAGTGCTTGCTTGCCTTCGAAATAACTTTCTGAGCAAGCTTAACGATGTCTGGGACGATTTTCAAGCCAGTATGGTGATGATCCGAGATGTGTTCATGTATCTCGATAATGTTTACGCCAGAATAAACGATTTAAATAATGTATACAATCTCGGATTGATCCTGTTCCGCGATAAGATTATAAAATACGAGAATATTTCCTTTTATCTGCGTTCCACCCTTCTCCGAATGATCACGAGAGAAAGGAAGGGCGAAAATGAAGATAGAACCGCCATTAAAAATGCATGCGATATGCTTGTTTCTATAGGCACAGGTTCCGATTCTTTTTATATAGAAGAGTTCGAAACTCCATTTTTAGAACAGACAAACGAATTTTATACAAAAGAAAGTTATCGTTTCTTATCGGAGAAGAATGCCATGTCTTACGTGAGAAAAGCTAGAACACGAATGGAAGAAGAATCCACCAGAGCCAAATTCTGTTTTGGAGAAACGACGGAGAAAAAAGTAATGGAAATTTTAGAGGAACAACTGCTCAGAAAGCATATCAAAATCATTATGGAAATGGAAAATTCTGGAATATTTTATATGCTGAAGAATGAAAAAATGGAAGAATTAGCTTCTATGTACCAGCTCTTTTCTAGAACGGAAGATTGCTTACACATAATGGCTGAATACGTAAGCAAATATCTTAGGAACTTAGGAAAAAATATGGTAGAAGAAGGTAAAAGAAATATACATATCTTAGAATTTATACATAGCTGGATAGATTTAGTAGAAAAATTCAATGTCTTTCTGTGTAAATCTTTCAAATCTGACAAATACATTCAGAAAATGATAGTTAACGACTTCGAACATCTCTTAAATTTAGATTCCAAATACTCAGAATATCTGTCTTTGTTTATAAATGATAAATTAAAAAAGAAGGCCAGAGACTTTACTGGAGAGATTGAAGATGATATTATTGATAAAAGTTTCATTCTGTTTCGCTATCTTCGGGATAAAGATTTGTTTTTAAAGTACTACATACAGCACATGGCCAAGCGATTACTTTTCAATAGAAGAATATCTAAAGACTCCGAACAAGAAGTCATCTTAAAGTTAAAGATGGAATGCGGAAGTCAATACACTTTTAAATTAGAGAAAATGATGAAAGATGTAATAATTTCAGATGAAACCATCGAAAATTTTAATAATAACACACAAATTTCTAGACATTTTCCAAGTAAGATGATTGAATTGAATGTTAAAGTTCTGACTTCGCAGCTTTGGCCAATACAAAAATGTTTCGTAAATTGCTATTTACCAGAATATCCGAGGAAAATCTTCGATGCTTTTATGAAATTTTATTTGAAAAGACATTGCGGACGTAAATTAATTTTGCAGCCTCAATTCGGTTGGGCGGATATTTCCGCCGAATTCTGTGGAGAAACGTTACAAGAGAATTCTGTCAATGGGGATTGTACTAAGCTCATCTCTAACAATTCTTTAATTAATGGCAATCCTAGAAATTATATTTTTCAAGTTTCCACTTATCAAATGTGTATTTTAATGTTGTTTAATTCCGGAAAGAGTATTTCGTTTGAAGATATGTTACTTGAAACAGATATACCAGAGAACGATTTAAAAAGATCATTAGAGACTTTAGTCTCAGGTAAACCATGGCAGAAAATCTTACTTAAGCATCCCAAAGGAACTCACTTTCAGTCTAGCGATACGTTCGCTGTCAACGAAGCTTTTTCTTCGAGGTTTTATCGCGTAAAAGTCCAACCTTACAAGAACAGAGATTCGACAGGATCCGATAAAGTTATCGAAGACGATATAAATGAAGATCGAAAATATGCAGTAGAAGCAGCCATTGTAAAAACAATGAAAGTCTCGAAAGTACTTCATCACAAGGACTTAATTTCCAACGTGATTTTACTGTTAAAGCATCGATTCCAGCCCAGTATTCTATTGATTAAGACACGAATAGAAAGTTTGATCGAAAGAGAATATTTAGCTAGAAAAGAAGACGACAAAGAAATATATCTTTATATTCAGTAATGATTTCATGACTGATTTGAATAAATATAAATTAGTTTGATAAGCTCAAAATTATTCTTTATTTCATATGTTGGAATAATAGTTGATATGGCGATAAATAGGATTTTATTAATACATTAATTTAATATAAAATAATTATAAGTCGACATGCACAGTTATAAATACGGTATATAACAATACTATGAGATAAAGCTAATTTAAATGTAATTTTTCAAAAATTGTCTGTAATAAAAAATCTTTATTCAACTTTTCTTATTGTCGACATGATAAATAAGTCAGCTTTTTTCCTGTGGGCTCTTCTTTATGGATTGGCGGGGTCCACAACGGCTTCTTTATGGGTTGACGAGGTCCACAACGAGACAACCGGCCTTCATAGTACTTTTTATTATAAAGTAGATTGATTTGCAATGCTTTTATCTTTCGGATAAGACAATGTAATTTCGTTAAACACTGCCCGTCATTCAGAAAGTAACAATGGCCAATAAACTTAAATGTAAATTAGTGGCTTTCGGAGAGATGCACCTTCTCAGGTGAGGATCTTAATTCTGAAAATAGAAAAAATATATATATAAAATTATTATTTCGGTAAAAAATCTTTCCTTTGGGATTTAATATTAAAATAATGTCTATAAATATATTCAATGCCTGCCTACGGGGAAGTGTTAGAAGAATAATATGATCGTTTTCAAGATACAGTATCGATGTTTATAGTGTATTGTATGACTGGTTTTTTTTATGATGTTTTATCTTTTACCGTTTCTCAAAGAGAAAAGGAAGTGGGCTCGCGAATTGAATAAAAACAGATCCGATCATGTGAATTTTATCGTTTGACTAAAAGGCTGCGCGATTAATCGCGACAATCGGTTATAATCGATTTTTGGGGTTCATCAATTATCGAACTTTTCGGGGGTAGTCCGTCCGTATATGTCGGTCTCCGTCCCTCATCACCCGGCCTCTCCATTGCGGGCCTGGCCGAATCCATAAAGGGCTTGCTAAAAGGGCGAAGAGTTAAAAAGAAAAAAAATACTACTGATAGTGTTAGATCTTAAAACACATTTCCGATAAAAATAAAATTTAATATTTTTTTAATAATATACTTTAATCATTCTAAGCATAATTTTTTTCGCGAAATTTTGGTATAATAATAATAATAAGTGATTTGATAATAAAAGAAAAGATATTTTAACTTATTTTGCTTTATTATTTTTTATACTCGGAATAATTGTATAAGTATTAATACTTTTTTAAAATTTAATAATTATTTTACTCTAAATGCGATAATTTTAATCAACTTGCCAGACGATCGACGTTTTATATTTTGTATCCGGTGAGTTGGCATCACTGTAATTATCAGATAACAACATGGCGCCCGCATGGAGTGAAGTCTCATGTGCTCGAGAGGAAAAGCGGTGCGAATTAATATTATCCGGTGCGGCCGTTTCGAAAAAGATCGAAGAAGAAGGTTTAGACCTAGAAATTTTTACTTTAAATAATTTAAATTTTCTAGAAATAAGTCACACGTGCTTAATTACACTACCCGACGAAATAATCAATTTAACTAATTTGACAAATTTCGTCCTTCGCGGCAATTGGTTGAAGGAATTGAATGAAAATTTGTGTAACTTAACCAAACTGAAGTTTTTGGATATTTCGGAAAATCAAATAACTCATTTACCTCAAGATATTAATAAATTAGTTTCTCTTCAAACTTTGAACGTCAGCGCGAATAGTTTGACAAATTTCCCACCTTTAAGTAATTTAACAAAATTATCGACTATAAATTTCACTAAAAATCAATTTGAAAACTTTCCTCTCGAACTCTGTGATTCAGCACTGGCGCATCTGTCTGAAGTCATCGGAAGTAACAACAATATTGTAGACATTCCATCTGAAATTGAAAACCTCGTCTCTCTAAAAACTTTGGATCTTGGAAATAATAAGATCGTCGAAGTGCCTGGTGAACTTTCGAACTGTTCTAAATTAAAAGAACTTAATTTAAAAGGTAACCGCATCAAAGACAGAAGGTTGGGGAAGTTGGTCGATCAGTGCCATACTAAGCAAGTGTTGGAGTATGTGAGAAGTCACTGTCCCAAAAAAGGAAAAGAGAATAACTTAACAACACAATCTACTAAAGGAAAAGCAAAAGGAGGAAAACAAAAGAAATCCATCCAGAAAGAAGAGGTATCAAATTTTATATTAAGTTACTGTTGGAAGATTTTATGAATGTTGTTGTTCATTGGCTGCGTTCGGCAGACTCAACAGTTGTAACTGAGCAAATTGGTAGCCTTTACGTAGCAACCTGGATCTGCTGAATGACGAGTAACATTGTGTTGGAACAAAAAGCCTCGTTGGTCAGTTTCGGATAGCGTAAATGAAAGACGTTACCAAATGTGACAAAACACTAAACATTCTGAAAGAATGCTACTGTAGAAAGCATTCAGCAGAAAAATAACTTGATGGCTCTGGAACTTTTAAGTCTGCTGAATGCAGCCATTGAATCTTCTTGGGAAGCTTTTCTAGACCTGTGATCTGCAATGATGGGACAGATGGTCTGCAGACTTGAATTAATAGATTAAAACTTTGTTCAATGTTGGTTTGTTTTTAACAATTCCCTTCCAATTCAATTAATTATGTTTCCGTTGTCTTTATCTTTAATATAGTGAAGCCCAAGTTGGACCGTGGACCTAAGACCTGTCTTTCTTTCTATCTTTCTGATACATAAATATACACGACCATTGAAACCTGATACGTTAAGCTAATACATCTACAACAGCCGTAAATGATCAGGCTATATTTTGGATAAAGTGCCAAATTCATTTCTAATTTATAATTATCCAAAATATAGCCTGATCATTTATGGCTGTTGTAGACGTATTATCTTTCTGATACTTTTCGGTTAATGGGATGCCAGCTGATACATATGGCAATGGGTGAGATTTGAGCTCTAAATGAGGGTTTCACCCCACCCGCAGAATTGCTGACCCTTCGTGAGATATTCGTCTCTGAAGATTGGTTTTTAACACGTATTGATCTACTGTCTTTTCTACCTGCTTTGCATCTAGATGTGTGCCTCGATGCTCACTATTGCTTGCACCTTGGTGTTCAGGTGTGGGTGAGCCCCACATCCTCCTAAAACTATATAACGTTGAGTACTCTCAAGTCGAGTGGGCTACTCAAAGCTGGCATGGCTGTCGCTTGTGCTAAATTGTTAAACGTGGTAGTCTTCTGGCATCTCATTAATCAAAAAGAACTGTCTTTCCACCATCCTCTGCAAACACCACTGTTATGTCATCAGTCCTTTATTTGATGGATTAATTTCTGAACTGTTCACTGTAGAAAGCCTAAGCTTTGGATAACTTCTTCAATTATTCTATATTCAAAAGGAGCATGAAAATTCATATAGAAACTAAGATTTTAATTAATATGTATTTAAAGTTAGACTTAAGTTGAAACCGAGTTGTTTAACTTCATTAGGCTATGTTCCATATATACAGTAGAGCTTCGATTATCTGAATATCAATCAACTGAAACATNATGAACTGATACAAAATTGGTGCCAGTGTGTTAGTCATCAAGCTTGTGATAAAGAGAAGTCCTTGCTTGATCTTGATTTCACTAAATAATAATAATAATTACATTGATGATGATTTGATTATGATTTTTTTAGTATTTTTCTTCCTTTTTTTTCATTGAAATTTAGAGCTAACCACAAATTATTGCATGCATGATGTGGTAACTGTGTAAAACTTCAAATGCTCGTAACTTCTGATAAGTGCATATTTCAAAAAATGTTTTAGATAAAAGTTTTTTTAATTTTTGATGATGATTCAGAATATGCAATAAGAAATGGCAGTTCCCATTTAAGAAAATGAAGTTCACCCTGTTTTTTTTCAATTGTAGTGGCATCTTGCATTTTGTGGTCCCCTCTTAAAGTGTAACATTTTTTTTTTTTTCTGTACAATGCATATTTTTCAAGTTGCTCCATTGGATTCATTAAAATGGTCCATCTTATACCTACTGATCTTTAACAATGTATCATCTTCCTTTAATTTTCTGTTATAATGAAGAATTTCAAAACTAATAGATTACATCTTTTGAAATATTTGCTTCCAAAAAGACTTCTTTTTTCAACAGTAAGAACAATAATGTGATTTAATGGTTTTCTCTTGTGCTAAACACTTAATTCAAAGCTTTTTGATATAGATTTAACACCAACACTGCCTGATGATGTAGATAGTCTTTCATTTTTAGGTTAAGATAGAGGCGTTGATTAGATTGAAATAAGAAATACTAGGAGAAAGGTATATAGTGCATAGTATTTTCCCAATTCCTTTAGCAGCAAAAATAACTTACAGTACAAATGACTCGTATCATTATTATGTTTCCAACTCAACTTAGAATATTCTTAGATCAATTTATCAACTTTTTGTTATCTGTATTACTGTGACTGAATTTATTAAAGAAAACTATTACTAAATTAAGTTTTTGTAATAGAAAAACTATTAAAAAGACACACAACAAATAAATTTTAAAGAACTTGTGTGTGTCATTTTTGAATCCTTGACATGATCTACAACTTAAAAAAATGCAGCAGAATTAAAATCATACCATTGTTAATAAATATTTCTATGGTTTATATTTATTAATTAAGCTGAATAGTAAAAAGCTTAGTGTCATAATTTTATGAAAAGAGAGGATTGGAAACTAAACATCTTATCTATCAGATATGAAGATAAAGTAAATTTTTATGTAATACTATAGTCGAAGCATTCAGTGTTGCCTGAGAATTAGATACAATTATTTTTAAAACAATCACTTAATGTTAAAATTTAATGGATTGTTTTAATAGAAAAATATTTTTATTTAAGCATGGTTTCTGTAGAAACACATCTTGCACCAATGAAAATCATATTTTTGCTGTTTATTTTTTTATTTTTCTTGTACATTTTTGCTTTTATGAGAAAGAGTATGTAGACTATTTCAATCAGATAAGAATTAATGTAGAATATTAATCTAGCAATAAAATTTGCTGCTGTTTATAAAAGTTCTACAAATAAAATTTAAAACTGAAATAGCCGTAAAAAACTATTTTCATAGTTTTTTTTTTAGTCTTTTGAGACAGTGAACTTGTTTCAAATTTACTATCTGAAAAACCACATGAAAATATGGTTATGAAAATATAATTTTTATCACTTTTTAAGTACATGAATTCTTATTGGGTTTTGAGTACTAATAAAATTTTGAGACAAATTTTATATTTGAACTCATTCATTTTAATTCTTTTTACCTCTATGTCCTTGTTGTTGTACATTTCTGTGTTTATACTGTCTTCTTGGACCTTGTTTATTTGTAGGACTTATTATACTGGTATAGTTTCTGATTAGCAAAGAGAGATGATCTTAGTCAAAACAAAATACTTTTATTTTCACCAGGTGAAAATAAAGAATGTATAAATATGTATAAGTCCTACTAATAAACAAGGTCCAAGTAGACAATCATTGATTTTAAATTTTCTGTCTCATCATTTTCCCCAAACTGTTGATGTCTCGTTCAGCTTTTTACAGCTAGATTCAAATTGGTAAAATAATAATTTTAAAATGTAATAAAAAATGATCAATGGTAAGATAAAAGAAAATGCTCTAATTTAAAATTAGTTTTTAAAAATAGGCAGATATTACATAAATTAATTGTAGAGGCATTGTAGTATTGTATGAGATATCAAAGATCAAATATCGACACAGGACTTAAAACGTTTTACTGTTTTAGATTTACATTCTGATAATACAATTGATATCTCCTTTAGTCTGTACCAATATATTTTTCTGTAAGAAATTTGATTCTGTAAGATAGACTTAAGATGTACTTGTACCACTTCATTTACTAACATTTCATGTTAGTAAATGAAGCAGTCAATCAGTGAAGCCTATATATCTTTAAAGTAAGAACATAGAAGTGATATATAAATCAAATGCATGAATAGTTTACTTATTTATTCTGCTTATCTATTCTACAACTGTGCCATTTATTCAGAGATTTTACAGTAGATATAATGTCCATTTAGATGAGTTTACAATAGGGGCAAATGAATTGATCTTGAATTGCAAATATGTGGAAAGAATGGTCCACCCTTTGTGTGTGTGTGGAATAACTCGAAAATATGCATCCTTCAAAAAAATCATTAAAAAAATGTTAACCTCAAGGGGGCATTGCAATTTATGAAAATGTGATCAACTTCATTTTCTAAAATGGAAAGCCCCATTTCTTATTGTATATTCTGAATCTTTATCAAAAATAAACAAACTTTTATCTAAAATATTTTTTCAAAAGATGCACTTATCAGAAGTTATGAGTGCTTGGAGTTTTATATAGCCTCCACACTATGCATGCAAAAATTTGTGTATAATTGTGAAATTCACTGAAAAAAAAAGAAGAAAAATTCTAAAGAAATCATTAGGAGAATATTATTATTTAGTGAAGAAGGATAATTAAACCATTCTTTTCCTTCAAATAATGAACTGATACAAAATTGGTGCCAGTGTGTTAGTCATCAAACTTGTGATAAAGAGAAGTCCTTGCTTGATCTTGATTTCACTAAATAATAATAATAATTACATTGATGATGATTTGATTATGATTTTTTTAGTATTTTTCTTCCTTTTTTTTCATTGAAATTTAGAGCTAACCACAAATTATTGCATGCATGATGTGGTAACTGTGTAAAACTTCAAATGCTCGTAACTTCTGATAAGTGCATATTTCAAAAAATGTTTTAGATAAAAGTTTTTTTAATTTTTGATGATGATTCAGAATATGCAATAAGAAATGGCAGTTCCCATTTAAGAAAATGAAGTTCACCCTGTTTTTTTTTTCAATTGTAGTGGCATCTTGCATTTTGTGGTCCCCTCTTAAAGTGTAACATGNCGTCCTTATGTTGTTGGTTGTATTGTTCATAGTGTAGATTTGAGCGGTGGAAATTTAAAAAAATTTCTTGTACTTCAGGTGAGTTATAAAATTTACTACTTGAAATAATTGTTTAATTTTTGGTATGTTATTCTAAAAAACTAATTAATGAAAAAAATATCCCTGTTTTTTTCAATTGTAGTGGCATCTTGCATTTTGTGGTCCCCTCTTAAAGTGTAACATGTTTTTTTTTTTTTTTCTGTACAATGCATATTTTTCAAGTTGCTCCATTGGATTCATTAAAATGGTCCATCTTATACCTACTGATCTTTAACAATGTATCATCTTCCTTTAATTTTCTGTTATAATGAAGAATTTCAAAACTAATAGATTACATCTTTTGAAATATTTGCTTCCAAAAAGACTTCTTTTTTCAACAGTAAGAACAATAATGTGATTTAATGGTTTTCTCTTGTGCTAAACACTTAATTCAAAGCTTTTTGATATAGATTTAACACCAACACTGCCTGATGATGTAGATAGTCTTTCATTTTTAGGTTAAGATAGAGGCGTTGATTAGATTGAAATAAGAAATACTAGGAGAAAGGTATATAGTGCATAGTATTTTCCCAATTCCTTTAGCAGCAAAAATAACTTACAGTACAAATGACTCGTATCATTATTATGTTTCCAACTCAACTTAGAATATTCTTAGATCAATTTATCAACTTTTTGTTATCTGTATTACTGTGACTGAATTTATTAAAGAAAACTATTACTAAATTAAGTTTTTGTAATAGAAAAACTATTAAAAAGACACACAACAAATAAATTTTAAAGAACTTGTGTGTGTCATTTTTGAATCCTTGACATGATCTACAACTTAAAAAAATGCAGCAGAATTAAAATCATACCATTGTTAATAAATATTTCTATGGTTTATATTTATTAATTAAGCTGAATAGTAAAAAGCTTAGTGTCATAATTTTATGAAAAGAGAGGATTGGAAACTAAACATCTTATCTATCAGATATGAAGATAAAGTAAATTTTTATGTAATACTATAGTCGAAGCATTCAGTGTTGCCTGAGAATTAGATACAATTATTTTTAAAACAATCACTTAATGTTAAAATTTAATGGATTGTTTTAATAGAAAAATATTTTTATTTAAGCATGGTTTCTGTAGAAACACATCTTGCACCAATGAAAATCATATTTTTGTTGTTTATTTTTTTATTTTTCTTGTACATTTCTACTTTTATGAGAAAGAGTATGTAGACTATTTCAATCAGATAAGAATTAATGTAGAATATTAATCTAGCAATAAAATTTGCTGCTGTTTATAAAAGTTCTACAAATAAAATTTAAAACTGAAATAGCCATAAAAAACTATTTTCATAGTTTTTTTTTTTAGTCTTTTGAGACAGTGAACTTGTTTCAAATTTACTATCTGAAAAACCACATGAAAATATGGTTATGAAAATATAATTTTTATCACTTTTTAAGTACATGAATTCTTATTGGGTTTTGAGTACTAATAAAATTTTGAGACAAATTTTATATTTGAACTCATTCATTTTAATTCTTTTTACCTCTATGTCCTTGTTGTTGTACATTTCTGTGTTTATACTGTCTTCTTGGACCTTGTTTATTTGTAGGACTTATTATACTGGTATAGTTTCTGATTAGCAAAGAGAGATGATCTTAGTCAAAACAAAATACTTTTATTTTCACCAGGTGAAAATAAAGAATGTATAAATATGTATAAGTCCTACTAATAAACAAGGTCCAAGTAGACAATCATTGATTTTAAATTTTCTGTCTCATCATTTTCCCCAAACTGTTGATGTCTCGTTTAGCTTTTTACAGCTAGATTCAAATTGGTAACTGTTTAACCAAACCAATTTTGAGGCAAGTGGACAAAATATTAAAGCTCATCATTTTCAAAAATTCATTCTAAATATTTGTGCTTGTTAAGAATGTGCAGCTTAGTTCTGATTTTGCACTATATGATTTTGATTACACAGTTGTCTGGTAGTGCAAAACTATGCAATCTTGTTGGTTTGATAGGCAGCTTCTTTTGGATAGGAAGTGATGTTTTCAACAAAAACTAGTCATTGGTTTCCTTTTGGATGAGAGGATAATCCAATCAAGGGTGATCATACATAATTTGTGCTTGTTAGTAATACACTAGTAATTCTCCATTTTGAATGTTTCACTCTTGTTTGTTACATACAGCCTTTTGCAGATTGGGATGGAGTTTATTTGACAAAAAGTAGGTATTGATATTCTGGCTGAATAGATGGTCCCTTAAAATTTATATTTGCTCAAATCATGTTTGAGCAAAAGAATAAACAAACATACTTCTTGCATATTAGATTGCACGTAGATAGTATGATAAATATAACACATCTTCAAACCTATAATAAATCAAGCAGAATGGTGTATACTTCACTTTACAAACATTTTCGACTTTCTTCTAAAGTCTGCTTCAGGTTTCGGCTACAATTTTAAAAAAATTGTAGACCTATAAATTTCCACTGTTGTCCATCTGTCTGTCCTTCCTTAATCTCAAGAATGGAGTTAGATAGATGAAAGATGAGACCAGATATGGAGAGCTTAGGGACAGGGGGCACCAATTAACTATATATGAACTTTGGTTTGCATCAGAAGTCATATTATTTCAATTCAAAAATTTTCTCATGAAAGGAGCTAAATAGATGACTGGCATGACTCCATTGCCAGCAGGAAAGTATGATGTACAGGGCAAGACAGTACTAACTTGAGGTGGAAACCATATATTTTAAATGAAATTAATTAAAAATATGATTAAAAATTGCAATCTGGCATTGTGACAATGTCAAGTAAATAATTGCTTATAGGTTTGAAAGTGTGGTTTTTTTAATTTGATATCATACAATTTGTCATATAGACAAAGTTAGATTGTATGATATCAAATTTTTGAAGTAAGAATATCAGCAATGATGAGAAAAGAGTTAATTAATTGATTCACATAATCTAGATATTTGCAAAATATGATAAAGGCCAGCAAAATGAAATAAGGGATTTAACTAATTTTTAAATTTAGAATTTAAAAAAAGCTTGTTAATATGATAAAAAAAAAATTATTCATTAAAAAAGTAAATTAAAATGTTAATAAAATACATAAACACTTTTTCAAGAAATAGCTTAATTTAGCAACTAGATGAACTTTATCAGTTGTAAACTTCCTAATAATCAAATATAAAATATTTTATCTATAATGTAATATTGATTTACAGATAGCAGCTTCTGATAATTTATTATGTAAATAATTTGCTAAATTTAACTGCCTGCACTCATATATTAAAGAAAATAACATGTTAAATTACTGAAGTATGTAATGAATTATCTTAAATTGTAAAATCATTTAAGTTTACTCAAGAAAATTAATTATTTTTTCATTTTGAATAGAGTGACAGATAATCCTACAATATACAGTGGTACCTCAGGTTACGAACGCCCCAGCATACGAAATTTTCAGGATACGACATGAAATTCGGACATATTTTTGCTCCACGATACGAACAAAAACTCACCATACGACGTTACATTAGTTCGCATTTTTCATTTGTTTTTCTTACTACAGTTATTTTTTTNTGCTTTATTATTTTTTATACTCGGAATAATTGTATAAGTATTAATACTTTTTTAAAATTTAATAATTATTTTACTCTAAATGCGATAATTTTAATCAACTTGCCAGACGATCGACGTTTTATATTTTGTATCCGGTGAGTTGGCATCACTGTAATTATCAGATAACAACATGGCGCCCGCATGGAGTGAAGTCTCATGTGTTCGAGAGGAAAAGCGGTGCGAATTAATATTATCCGGTGCGGCCGTTTCGAAAAAGATCGAAGAAGAAGGTTTAGACCTAGAAATTTTTACTTTAAATAATTTAAATTTTCTAGAAATAAGTCACACGTGCTTAATTACACTACCCGACGAAATAATCAATTTAACTAATTTGACAAATTTCGTCCTTCGCGGCAATTGGTTGAAGGAATTGAATGAAAATTTGTGTAACTTAACCAAACTGAAGTTTTTGGATATTTCGGAAAATCAAATAACTCATTTACCTCAAGATATTAATAAATTAGTTTCTCTTCAAACTTTGAACGTCAGCGCGAATAGTTTGACAAATTTCCCACCTTTAAGTAATTTAACAAAATTATCGACTATAAATTTCACTAAAAATCAATTTGAAAACTTTCCTCTCGAACTCTGTGATTCAGCACTGGCGCATCTGTCTGAAGTCATCGGAAGTAACAACAATATTGTAGACATTCCATCTGAAATTGAAAATCTCGTCTCTCTAAAAACTTTGGATCTTGGAAATAATAAGATCGTCGAAGTGCCTGGTGAACTTTCGAACTGTTCTAAATTAAAAGAACTTAATTTAAAAGGTAACCGCATCAAAGACAGAAGGTTGGGGAAGTTGGTCGATCAGTGCCATACTAAGCAAGTGTTGGAGTATGTGAGAAGTCACTGTCCCAAAAAAGGAAAAGAGAATAACTTAACAACACAATCTACTAAAGGAAAAGCAAAAGGAGGAAAACAAAAGAAATCCATCCAGAAAGAAGAGGTATCAAATTTTATATTAAGTTACTGTTGGAAGATTTTATGAATGTTGTTGTTCATTGGCTGCGTTCGGCAGACTCAACAGTTGTAACTGAGCAAATTGGTAGCCTTTACGTAGCAACCTGGATCTGCTGAATGACGAGTAACATTGTGTTGGAACAAAAAGCCTCGTTGGTCAGTTTCGGATAGCGTAAATGAAAGACGTTACCAAATGTGACAAAACACTAAACATTCTGAAAGAATGCTACTGTAGAAAGCATTCAGCAGAAAAATAACTTGATGGCTCTGGAACTTTTAAGTCTGCTGAATGCAGCCATTGAATCTTCTTGGGAAGCTTTTCTAGACCTGTGATCTGCAATGATGGGACAGATGGTCTGCAGACTTGAATTAATAGATTAAAACTTTGTTCAATGTTGGTTTGTTTTTAACAATTCCCTTCCAATTCAATTAATTATGTTTCCGTTGTCTTTATCTTTAATATAGTGAAGCCCAAGTTGGACCGTGGACCTAAGACCTGTCTTTCTTTCTATCTTTCTGATACATAAATATACACGACCATTGAAACCTGATACGTTAAGCTAATACATCTACAACAGCCGTAAATGATCAGGCTATATTTTGGATAAAGTGCCAAATTCATTTCTAATTTATAATTATCCAAAATATAGCCTGATCATTTATGGCTGTTGTAGACGTATTATCTTTCTGATACTTTTCGGTTAATGGGATGCCAGCTGATACATATGGCAATGGGTGAGATTTGAGCTCTAAATGAGGGTTTCACCCCACCCGCAGAATTGCTGACCCTTCATGAGATATTCGTTTCTGAAGATTGGTTTTTAACACGTATTGATCTACTGTCTTTTCTACCTGCTTTGCATCTAGATGTGTGCCTCGATGCTCACTATTGCTTGCACCTTGGTGTTCAGGTATGGGTGAGCCCCACATCCTCCTAAAACTATATAACGTTGAGTACTCTCAAGTTGAGTGGGCTACTCAAAGCTGGCATGGCTGTCGCTTGTGCTAAATTGTTAAACGTGGTAGTCTTCTGGCATCTCATTAATCAAAAAGAACTGTCTTTCCACCATCCTCTGCAAACACCACTGTTATGTCATCAGTCCTTTATTTGATGGATTAATTTCTGAACTGTTCACTGTAGAAAGCCTAAGCTTTGGGTAACTTCTTCAATTATTCTATATTCAAAAGGAGCATGAAAATTCATATAGAAAGTAAGATTTTAATTAATATGTATTTAAAGTTAGACTTAAGTTGAAACCGAGTTGTTTAACTTCATTAGGCTATGTTCCATATATACAGTAGAGCTTTGATTATCTGAATATCAATCAACTGAAACATCAATTAACTGAAAGCTCTCCAGTCAGCAAATTTAAATTTCTGTTAGTGCTGTGGTGCAGCAATATTTGGCTATATCTTGGGTTACTTCAATATTGTTTTTGTTTGTGTGTGTGTTTTAGCTAGCAGCACTGGCGCAATCATGAGAGGGTACTTAAGGACGTGGCAGGATTTGCATGAATTTCAACATGGTATTTAAAACATGTTAGATTTATTATGTCAGAAATGGCAGAGCATCCCAAATGTTGGTAATATCCACATAGGTTTTTAAAAATATCAGGCCTATGTAACTTACTGGTTTGTAGAATTCTTTCAGACATTTTTCTGGTCCTTGGGCTTAAAAAGGTTGAGAAATGCAGTCCTAGTGGATTTTTTGTGAAAGTTATGCAATTCAGTTCAATGGAAATGAATGATGTGATGTTCAATTTATACTGTATATGTATACCAGAATTGTAATTAAAGTATCCTTTTCAGTGCTGTCTTGAAAAAGATTTAGCAGGCCAAATGCAACTAAATTTGGAATAGTAACATTTTGGGATAGGCAGAAGACATTTCTGTGAAAAGGAAAAAAGTAGCACCAAAACTCACTGTGATACTTTTTTGCACTACAAGTATCATTTTAATTTTATAAGCTATTCAAACTATCCAGAAACCTTGAGATGTGGGAGATACTGCTCAATGCAGTCCTCATTCTAAAGGTTAAAACCTGAAGCTGGTGAACAGTGTGTTCAGCAATCAACTGTAATAGATCCTCTGTTCAGGTTACCTAAAGTCTTTCAGGTTACCAAATTTGCAATATGTTCTTGATAAACCACACTTTTTAAGTGTCTCAACAAAATTCATACATATTAAGATCAAAAGTGCCATAATGGTGAATTTTGATGCCAATTTTTTATGTTTAATGTCTTCTATATGTTCTAATATTTGGTTGCATTCAGTCTAGTAAATATCTGTAGACAACATTGAATTCTGGTACTTTAATTGTCTAGTATACTAGAGATTCCATCATGACCAATTTTGATGATGCAATTCTAATATTTCTAACTATTTTGCGACATTCTTCACATTCATATTGGCAATTTATGGTTATTTTTTTTTTTTAAATATAAAATA